CCAGCGAGATAATAAACTTAGTTTTCCCCCATTGGTAGTTTACAGTATCGCACCTGCGCAAATGCTTAGAGAAGATACTGAACCACGTTTTACAAAATTGTCATACGACCGTGAATAGCTAACATGTCTAAGGTAAGACCCCGTATGTCCCAGTGATATCATGCCTGGTTCATACGAGCAGGGTTGGCTAGTTGTTATATGAATATGCTCTTGAAGAAACACATATAGCTGCTACACAGCCCAGATTTGAGTCCGCTGGATTACTATGTATAAAATATTATCGAGAGAAAGTCCAATAAGTCTTGACATGACAATGTTTATTCGCTTACTTCTGCTGTCAATCACGCATTTGCACATTTACAAAAAAAAACATTTGAAATGAGCCTGTACACGGTTTGGGAATCAAATGAAAACTTTAACAGTGGTGAATGACGATCAGAATAGATAAACATAACCGTCAGCGAGGGCACTTTTACCGCCTAAGACAATGTCGTTATACGTCTTTTGGCCATACGCGGTCTTAGAAAAAAAAGCATAAAGAAAATTTTGAGTTTAGATGAGCTACTTAAAGGCTGTATTCTAAAGCAAAGGGCCAAGCTGGGGCGCTATGGCGGTCATTCTTTTTGCCATGACTTACGCTTCCGTTACTAAGGTAAAAAGCGACCAGCTTCTCAAGGTTACGAAAACGTTTTAATCTCTCGTTACGCCTACTGTAACCTGCCTCTTCGGAAAACTGAAGGTCTTCCGTATTCGTGGCTCCTTGTGGAGTTTTCTGAGCTTTTGATGAACCGACATTCGTGTGGAATCCTTATTGAGCACCCGAAAACGCTCCTCTCTTCTGCAGTTTTGTTATCAGTCTTTTACCTGTGATACTCTCAAAAGCTTCTCTGACGGTATCTAATTAATAGATAAGGTAGTATCCTCCATGGTCGGGGGGGTCCCCAAGGTCTCTGAATAAAACTGAGATATTTCTTTTGTATCTTGTACATACAGTTTTACTCTTATAACATTGACGGACGCCGCGCAGCTCGTACAGCCTCAGCTGTCGGAGTGATCATTACATGACTTCTATCATAAAGATTTGAAGAATGTGATATTACTAGTATTGCCGAAATTCTTTGCTAATTAACTTCACTTACGATGTACGGACCTATATAGGAGCCATACAAACTTATGAACCTGCAAGCTGAATAAGCGTTGAGCTCAACCTTACGAGATGTAAAGTTTTACATACAAGTTTGCTCTTTCAGGAAGCTGAGCAGGCAACGACTAAACGGATCGGATCACCTTTTTTAGTGTTTAGTTTTAAAACTAGTCGCAACTTTAATTCTATTAGGGATGTCTCTGGGTTTTTATCGGCCTGTTTTATGCTTGAGGAGAATCGATGTTATTTGTCAACGTCTGCGTATTCGAGAGCGCATAGAGATGTACTTATTGTGTGAACTACACTGAGCTACGAAAATTCAGTGTATGCTTAGCCAACTCCAACTTTTTTGGAGGTTAAAGTGACTTTATGATGGAAATACTGGGTGACATTTTAGATATGTAATTGCCTGAAGCCACGTGTAACCGACCGTTGCTGCGTTTGGACTTTTTGGTTCCTTTGAACTTGTGGTTTTGCTTTTGCAGCAGCCTTGTAATTCATTTTTGATTTCGTGAGAGAATTGTTTTCCGATAAAGCTGGACAGCATTTTCTGTTAGCCAAATGACGTGTCGCCAGTACAATTAAGCAGCTCGTAAGATCACTTCCGGCGGAGAGCCAGAGACTGAATCTTTTCGTGAGAATACATATAATGCGTTTGGGGGCATCTAAATAAGTTCACAGATAACACGAGGTTGTTAACTGTACGATGTCCAAGAGCAGGGGCTCGGTTGAACAAAGTCTTGTCTCTGCCCACTTGAGTCGATTTTCAGTTAGCATGTTTATGTGTTCGTCATTTGTGCGAGAAGTATCATTGCTTAAATCTGTCGCCTTTCAGCTCAATCCGTCTCCTCGACCCATATGGAAAACATGAAGAACGCGTTTCTCAGAATCTCACTCAAATTTCGAAATTTTGTACTTGCAACCAAGGTGCTTCGTAATTTGTAGCTATGTATAGCCTGAGCGAATGGTTGAGTAACTGAACTTCTGGGCCGATAAACCTATTTAGAGAAAGATTAAGAGCTTGAGTGGCATGTCCCTGTAGGAGTGCAGCTAAAGCTAGAGGCGGCCAATGCTCCAAGTTCCATTGGCCACAGCTCTTGATGGATCCCGATTTCTTTCACCTTCAGCAACAGTATACACATAAAAAAATAACCTTCCATGCTTAGGATGACAATGCATCCTTAACGCCGTCATCACTAGCCGTGGCTCGACGATATCTGCAGAACTGTAGGACGCGGATATCTTGCCACGAAGGCAGTGGTATCGCAGTACCCTGCGCTGCACCTACTGCTTTTGAAGAAGAGTTTACGGCGAGCACTAATTTATAGACTAGAGAGCTATCGAAAGGATCAACAAGAACGGTTGCTAGAGAAGACACGGTTGCGGTTATACGGCTAGAAAGCTATAGTCTCAGCCAAAGTAAGCGTTTAATGTTAGCAGCCAAGTAATGTCTTAGATGTATGCTGATTGGTCAAGACTTCACCAAGGACCGTCTGTTCTGCGTAGATATATGGATTGGCAAATGCTTGCACTATGCCACATACATTGAAACTTTGAAATACAAAAAACGATGCCCATCAGCGAAAGACCCCGGGAAAAAACTCTGGCTCTAACTCAATCCACAATGAGCATTTACAAGAGGCTTTCTTCCGAACTCGATATTAACCAGCCCTTTTAACGCTCGTCTAACGGATGGCCGTGTTCCGTTATAATGGCAAAAGCTTTGCTATCAATGTCCGGAAGAAATTTTCCGGACGACGGGGAACTGTTATAAAATTTTATCTCACCCTTCACAGATCTCCTCTGGCCATATCTTCAGTTCTTGGACATCATTTCAGAAAAACAGCAGGCCTTTCAGCTGCAGTACTCTGCTAGTTCAATTCTTTTTGCAACCTATTCAGCGACATTACTGGTAGTCCGCATTTATACTTGTACGAAATATTCATTTACTTGCAAGCCGCACTCGACATATCCCATCGAAATGCTGCGGTTAAATTAAGTCGTAGCGGACGATGGGGTTGGTAATCTTGACCCTTTTAAACAAAACACATGGTGGCCTAAAGTGAAAAATCTACGTTCTCTGTTATCAAAAGTTCTCAGCGGCCTACGAAGCCAAAAAAACGAATACGGGCTAAAAGGGGTAACAGAGACCCACATTTTTACAAGGTTGGTGCGATGACCAATTCAGCTTGGAAAGACGATGAAGGAACCAACGGCGAGGCTTAGTTTGATATGCTATGCGTACACTATTAGTGCCGGATGCATTCATGTTCAAAGATATCAGCTCACTCAAAGTGAAGCGTTCGAGACGGCATTGGAAAGGCCTTCACTCTGCTGGTTGCGACACGCATCTTCAGTTGAAACTGGTTAAAAAAAATCACAAATCGTCGAAAGATGCAAACAGCAAGACTGGTCGCGGGATGAGGATATCCCGCTTGATTAGCGTGACTGAATAATACGAACTGAATAAGATTGTAAATAAATATTCTACTACGGCTGACTGCCAGCCGATAAGAAAGATTAACCTCTTCAGATCTCATTTTGCGAATATCTAATAAATCAATTTGATGTTTTGCCTTTGACTAAACAGTTCCATCCAACTGTCTTCACAAACTAACGTAACTACCAAGGCATTTTTTTCATCTTCTGGTTTTTCGTTCACACTTAAACAATTTTAGTACGGAAATGTGTTCTCACGCCATCACCTAAAAAAATGATATACCTAATGGGTTAATTGTGTTAGTTTGTTTCTTATTTCGGAAGATTGCTGCCCGTGTTTAGGGTTGCCAAACAAAACCCTGTTGCCCTTTTAGCCTTTTCCTCAACATATGTATACTGCCATGTGTCTGGTGGTTTGTGACTCTGCTTCAGTTAGCCTGTTTTTACTGTTACACCGGCACTCGGTGGTTCCACTAACTGAGCGTCCTCGTGACTTCGCTGACGTGCTTTTCGATACAAAATCTTCTTAGATATTTTTTCGATATCGCTCACCGTCGATGTTGACAGGCTTACCATCACCGAGACTTTTTGAGCGTGTGAACATGTATGTAATCACTATTGAACCATTTGCACTTTGCTTTAATCTGTAGCTAACTAGGTATTTAAGTTGTAGCACATAACAATCTATATTTTTACTTGTGTCGCTATTGAATGCTCTCTGACCCATCGAAGAATAGGAATTTGTGGGCGCGGGTAGCATTTCCTTTTAATTAATTTATGTGGAAAAACCTTTCGGACATGTGACCTAGGATTTATCCTCAGTTCAGTGGAGTTACACAACGTAAACAAAATGATAGTGACCGATAGTTAACGCTGGGTTAAAAACCTTTTCCTTTTAAAAGGCTTCTCAAACCTTATCTATTTTTACTATGATTTCTAATGAACGCACTTCGTCTGCGCTGCCCCTTGGTTCTGGTTTAAGAATAAGGAATTTTGGAAAGATGACCGCATGCAAGATACACAACAACTTATAGTAGCCTATTCGAAAATTCATTAGTTTAAATGTAAGTCATAATTATTCAACCGCTCAAACTTCAATATTGTTATATATACTTCAATAACAAATATTCAAAGAAATGTGTACAAAATGTTGAAATAATGAATGAAAAACAGTGGAAGCTTTCAAGTCGACAAATAAGATGCCGTTAGTACTAGTAGGGGGTAGTGTAATTAAGGGAATAAACATTTATTGTTAGGGGCTGGAAAAATTGGATTTCAGGACAAATCCGCTAAAAATATCCTATTTACTCTGAGGTAGTTCAAATATGTTTGAATAGGCTACTTGAGCCCAACAGTTTAAAATTATGACAAGCGCATTATGACAGAATTAATTTTTAAGCTTCCTATTAATACTCACCGATCAATTCATAAAACGCAGCCCTGACCTGAGGCCTAGAATCGGTGAAGAAGCATTCGGAAAATTTCTCTATAAATGACGACAGAGTAACGACTTTGCACTCAATTAAAGTACGAACACCATCCAAACACAGCGGAAATATAGCCGTCATTTCCGGCGATCGGACAGTCATCAACCGGCACAACCACGGAAGCATATCACAGCCGTGTAACCATGGGCTGAAATAAATAGCAACGGTGGACTGAGTACAATTTTTCAGAAGTTCCAACTTTAGACAATAATGATTTACAAACCGAATACAGTTTGTATGAAAGTTTATATATATATATATATATATATATGTATATATGTATGACATTTCGCGCACTGGGAAGAGTGAACAGCATTAAAAAGATTGATGGCAATTATTGAAGAACTATCTGATTCGTTGTCAGCTTATAGACCTTTATCTTAACGTTAAGAAAATGTATTTTACGTCATTGCCAATACTGGATAAGCACGCGGCACGACTTTTTAATGTCAAAGGCATTTACAAAGTTTTCATCCCTAATTAGTAAATTTGAGAGCTGCCTGAGAACTAGGCATGACATTCATTTTGCATCATTCAATGAAAAAAACTTTGTGTGCACACTAGAAACTCTTTGTTCGGCTATGGAAATATGCAGACCCAAGCCAACATCTGCAGAGGATAATGCGTTAAGTACGTAATTCAATGATACATTTATTCCTAGACATTTGAAAACAGGAAAAAATGGATCAAGGAAAAAGGAGTTCTAGAGATACATGCAGTAAAAGCAGTGAATCTTTTCAAGAACCTATGTGGCTGTTCGAACAAGCTGCATGCAATGAATGCAATGTGTGCTAGGACTTCTGATTACCGGTACCCTGGCCGCATCTGCCGGGATTGCACTGCACGTTTCGAAGTCAACTCTACTTGGAGTGCTTGATAAATAGACTAGCACGAAGCCGTAACGTTCTTCTAAGAATACCTAAGCTAGAGCGTCCGATTTTCAACCTCTAGCAGCAATAAAGAAGCTCTATAATAACGTCTTAGCTTTAAAAAGGGCACGCTGTTCGTCGGACTGCTGTTCCACGCATATTGGTTTCGATCAGCATTAAGGATACTCCGGTAAAGAGGAGAACCACGGCCATTGATACGAGCTCAATGGTTACACATTTCTCAAGAATTACTTTACAAGCAAAAATGATTTCACCTTTAATATATTTCGTTACGATACTGATCGACTTGGCTTTCTACAAAGCCATGACCGTAACTCGTATAATGCCAAATGCAATCAGAAAAACTGCAAATTGCTAAAGGAGCTAGCAGGACACAAATGAAAATCGAAGTCTGCTTTTTCGGATCCCGCATTTTATCCCGCACTAGGAGATATAATAGCTGTGAAAACGAAGTTGAAGGACGTCAACTGTAACTGTTACGTGTCTGTACGAAGTTTAATAACTGTCAAAATTCGAAATCTATGAATGAAAAAACGATGATCCGTCTCGATGAAAAAACCAAATCCGTCTCCTACATGTTATGTCTTCTAAGAAGAACTGTATTGTATATGTATGTGTATATATATATCAATAAAATAAACACATAAGTGACATAGATACATTCATACAAATATGATGAACTAATGCAACGCGTGCTTTTGGTCTTTTACGTGAGGCCAATATAACGATTTTATAATTATGTTTTTAAAACTTTAATGTTTTTATGGTAACTGGTATAATACATTCTAGTATTTTTTTTCTACGAGGAAAGGTGAGCTTAGACAGCATAGAAGCACGAGCTTTGTGTGATTATCCACTAACGCTTACAGTAAGGTATTTACAACGTTTTGCAGTTTTGTTCAATGTGGGATATACCATATAATGACTATTGCCATGTGCCGACTTGCGAAGCTGATATTTTGCAGACGTGTTATCCAAACCATCTCGAACCTATCACATAAATTAGAACCGTATGGGTTTTGTTCTGTTATCGGCTGAAACCAGGAGCGGTTCTGAGAGATCATAACATTCAAACCTTCAACTACCCTTCGTCAGAGAATAGATCCATGTTTTAAAATCCACCCAAACACTGCATAAAGGACGTCTGCAACTACCTGCATAAGCTATATAGAATAGCTTTATTGCGTACATTTAAATGGAAAGGATAATTGTTAAAAATCATGGTCGTCCTACTGATACTCGTGGAAAGCTCCTGCATTAAGCTATATGCTAAAATAGGAAAAACTCGATTTTAACTTTTTTTTGTTCCTATATATATTTAGCAGCACGTATGTTGGGTTGTCGAAAAGTACGGACCATTTTCAAACTAAAATTGAAATAGGTTCTATTTATATTTCTAACTATCATTAATTCAATATACGCTACTTTGACCGATGACTTTTTGCCGTTTTTCTGGTATCACTCTAATCTCATTAGTGTTGAATTCCCATGCTTTCTTGATGAAAAAGTATGACAAGTAGCTAAATTAGGGTTATTAAGGGGGCTCAGCAGAGACGAAACAGATGACCTGGTGGGAAGGGATTATAACCTTCCCATTCAAGTTCTCTCAATTTTTGCCGAGTAGCTAAATATTTATGTTGTCTAGCATAGACGACGCTTTTTTTGTTTGGTAGTTCCGGTAGCATTCTTTCCAATTCCTTGTTGTAATCTTCACAGCTGTCTATCCATGCGATGGCAACATAAAATGCAACGTTCCGTTCTACCAATTCTACCAAGTGCATAACATCACCTCCTTTGGCGTCAGTTTGAACTTCGCCACGATATGTGTTTTTTTTTTTCTTTATTGTACCTGATGCACTTGTCATCATCACCCATGACCAACTGCTTTGAAAATAGTTTAATTTCATTGTATTTGTATACAGTTACGCAGATGGAAAGGCCACCGAGTAAGTTCTTTTACGTCAATTCGTGTCGCAGCCAAACATCGAATTTTATCTCGTAGCCAGCTTTCTTCAAAAAGTTTAAGACTATTTGGTGTAGAATATTTAGTTACTTGCCGGTGGTCCTGCTCCACCTTCGCACATCAACTTTTTGGTCAACCACTACAAGGAGCGTTTTTCACATGGAAATTTCCATGTGATTTTTTCTGATAATGCTTGTAAAAACGGTTAATGCTTTTTGGACAACACAATATGATCACACTGAATCGGTGTATTTTCTTATTAGGGTTTCTAATTCCTTATTGCCTCAATAAAAACAACTCTTTGAAGCTACCGTACCATATATGCGTAGGCGTCTTGTTTGCTTTTCCTTTTAACACGTGACACCAAGTTCTGCGTAGGCAGAAAAACAAATCATCAGATTCTGTTTAACCTTTCTGTCTGAAACGCTTTGCTGAAATATAAACAAGAATCTGAGAATGTCAGTTTCGCCGATCGAATGCCATGACCTGCCAATCGTACCATGATGAACCACCTCATTCACGTGCACATCACTCGTTTTATGGCCATTTTCACTTCGCAGCAAAGTTCTATACATTTCGAGCTATCATTTAGGCGTAGTCGTATGGAATATCACCTCGCTGATTACGTCTGAGGTTCGGCTATTCAAACAAGCGACTCACAAAATCTAACTCTAAATTGGTGGGATCCGTCCGCAAGATTTCGAAGAATAATTGCTTCGTAATTGTCGAAGCTTTCCAATTTTTTACTACGCTAAGATTATTCCTATTTGGTAATTGATGAACTGTTAAACCAGCTTGAAATAACAATGCTTGAAAAAAACATAAGGTAGGTTTTTTTCGATAGTTATCGATAAAGCATATCCTGCAACGCTGTAGAAAAAAAGCACAAAGTTATGTTTTTTTCGCTAAAAAAGACGAGGCATCAGGGCACTACGTGGTAACTAGGTATATTTTACAATAAGCAATGATTCTAAGTCGCCTAATCGCTAAAAATATAACGTATGAAATTTCTGCGTATAAATTTAGATACGTTTTCAAGGCGAAAGCCTACATTGCGGATGCATGAAATGGCGCAATGTGTGTGTGAATATTGTGGGCACATTACAAACATGTGAGACTCTTCCTCTAATGGTAACTCAGTAGTCACTAGTGTGACGGTAAATAAAAAGAAAACATTAGCGTCTTTTCTTTAAAGACAATCACTGCCTGCGCTTCAACTGTAGACCTACCTTTACGCCTTCTTTCTCATAATAACATATAGGTATATATAGAATAGCTTTTGCCAAATGCTCTCGTGCCGGACAAACCACTACCAAACTCATAACACTAAATATAAAATAATATATAATATAAATTAAATTAACACACGGCTCTGATTGTTTGTTTTAATTTACATAGGTTGCTAATATGTGTGTGTATCTCCTCGCAGTAGATGTAAATAATCTTATTTTGACTAACTAAATGAGGCTAGCAAGCACTATACAAGGTATCGTTTAATGTTGAATAAATCCAAGTTGGCCGCCAGCAGCTGCGTTGTTCATTATATTTAGTGGCAGCCAAGCGTCCACTGAAAACAAAATAGAACAGATGGACAGCAATGTTGAGAGTCTACTGCATGCGGAAACAGCACGTCGGCTAGCACAAGGCAGATATCTGGACGTGTGTAACGGGGATATGACGGAAGCGGGCGTCACGCTCGAGACCTTCGTCGCTTGTTTACCCGAACATCGGTTTCTACCGTCCAGGCTGGTTAGATTACTACCTTCTGCGGACGGCCTGATGGTGCTAGGGGCGGTTCTCATGTTTATCAAGTATGAGCGGAACAAAGCGTTTTCGTCGTCGGCGGCAAGCTCAATAATGCGTAAATCTAAGAATTGGATTAAAAGGTTTAGAAGAGATGAAGTTTAAGGCATAAAGTTAATTCGAGAAAGGTTCAGCATTTCTCAGACACACTCTAATTATTGTTGTGAAGTCATTGCAAATATACATGCGCTGAACATGACGACACAAATAATCCATCCGGGTACCATATTACCCTTGAATGTGCTGCACACAGGCCTTTTTTCCAGCCGGTGCATATGCATTACCGTACAGCGTCGTGAGCCTGTATACATAAGTAGCACTTAACATCAAAGTGCTACTTACAAACTTAGAAAACCATCCCGTTCGGATAAAAAATCGTACGAACGTACGTTGACATCAGGTCCATTGTGCCCTGCTAGAATCAGCCAAATAAATTATCTTTCTTCTCGACGGCAAAACAACACGGTCGCTTATTAAGCTTTTAGTGGCGATACGTACATGCATCTTTTCGGGGAGCCGGAACAAAATCACCCATACCGATTTTGTACCGTATACCTCTATGACCGCCAATCGACGCTCAGCTGCGACGCATCGCACCCTTGATGTAGATCATAATGGATTCGAGTTATGCTTCGCGATGGGTATATATAGCCTCGCCTATGCGCTCGCCATGTTCCAGAGGTTCATGGAGTCATCCGGATTCTGACATATCAGACATAGCTTTCGTCTGTTTCGAAGCACTTGTATACACATTTCCACACACACAGTATGCTCTTTCTCAACCCCGGAAATGGTGTACTTGTGTTACAGGCCAACAAGACTTCCCTGGACCCCCAAGATATCCTGGAATGGTTCGTTTGCAACGATTAAGGACTTGCTTTTGTTTTTTACTACCGATCTATATGAGACTCTGCCAGACCATGAACCAGCTTCACGCCGCATTGTTTGCGACGGCTATCACGATAAAGCTACCCAGATGCAGAGGGCCAAGATGATATTTAACTATCTCGTGCTACTTGCAGTATATTCTAGAGACAGACGCCATGTAACCAGACTGTTAAAAACCGTGCTGATTCAAGTACGAGCAGAATGTCGCATAGGCTAGGCGACACCGACGCCAGGAGTTATTACTCCAAGGTAAGTAGTATGGACCATCGATAAGGTTGTATTAGTTTTGGCGAAATAGCGTGTTTCAAAGTGGTCACCGATAGCATTGCAATAAAGTGTCTAAAGGGTGAAGTGAACCTCTGCCTAAAATAAAGCGAACCTCTACCTAAAATAAAATGAACCTCTGCTTACAATTGACCTAATATCTGCAGAATCTTGGAAATTAACTTTGAAGTCGCCGATAAGAGGAGTATCGCTAGCATGAACGTGAGTATGCAGTCAGCTATGACAGCATACTCACGTACGTTGGTACAGAACGATGGCCTGGATGTGAACAGGATGCGGAAAGTACAGAAAAATTATTCTCGCCTGCACAGGTGTCACCAGGTGAGAAAAGGACCGGAGTTCGCGTCCCGGTCAAGGATGGCCTGGCATGCGGAAAGCTTAAATGCACGATTCTCGTCTGCGTACGTGTGACCAAGTGAAAAGGGATCTCGCGTCCCGGCATGCGTGCTGAAGGATAGTCTGGCGGCGTGCAGAATCAATAGGAAAGTCGTACTGTTCCACGCCCCCTGAAAATAGCACCATTCTGCTGAAATAGCACACGTTGGCCTTCGGAACACGTTATAAGAAATGTAGGAGTGTTTTTCCCCTGAAACGTGCTGAAGTCGCTGGTATGCATGATGGTGGCCTGGTGTAAGATTTGACAACTGTGAAACCAGGTTCCAGAGGGCACCCGGTGCCGGCTTCGGAACGAAGGTGAGCGTACTTGATGGACTTTTTCGGGTGACAGGTCTTCCCATATTTTGATAATGGTCGATTATTTATTATTTACTCGAAACCTGCAATTCGCGCCCTGAAAGCTGCCATGCTCTTCCGGGGGTTTGGTACAGCCTCTACATGACCTAACTTACATCGCGGAAGATCACTAAGCAAAATCAGATGGATTACGTCAAGGCGGCTAATAGGCATTCCCTGGCAGATAGTCCAGATTGCGGCGTGCAGACTCGGTTTCCTTGTGTTAAGAAACTTAGGCTTTCCTAGACCACTGGCCCAAGTGGCATTTTACTTTGGCAAAACCATAAGCGAGAACTTTAAAAAGACGCTTTTTGGGCTTCCTTTAGGCTACTGAGAAAGAAAGCTCTCCACGTGCGAGAACGCTAGGCGATGCAACGCCATGGAGCTGCGCAGGCGCGGAATCCCTACAGGTACTGATGAGGGTTTTCGCACAGCAGGCATTTTAAGATAACGCAGTGGTGGGGATGAGGGTCGGATGGGCGATGCTGGGACTGTCCAAAAAGCTGCTATCGCTTTACAATGGACACTGCGCGGTCGCTATCAAAAATGTGTCCGCAGCACTAGACTTTAATCAGTGAATTTTTATCATACTCGCAAATCGTACTTTTGTACAGTACTCGTAAGTACAACTTTTTAAGTACTTGCTAAAAAAAGTAGTTAGTTGTAAAAAATAAAAGCGCATATATTTTTGTGTGCATATGGCTTAACGGCGTACAAAACGACAATACAAATAGATTTATTCTTCATGGCATTGTTTTTTGGAAATAAAAATATTTGCACCGTTTTCTCATGTGTCCTACGCTCTGTTTTTACACAATTATATATATATATATATATATATTATATATATATATATTATATATATATATATATATAGAAATTACACAATCGGGGGGGGGGGGGAGAAACCGAGGAAACAAGGAAAGATGAATTCTACTTAAATCTTCGGTAATAATAAAAAATTTGGATTTAGAAAACGTGAATATATATCTACGCATCTGAAGAAGATACGTTTATATTTATTCACGGATATATTTTTTACTTATATATATAAGCAGGAAAGTTTGTCTTCAGCTGGAATCTCTTACAGTAGCGGAAAATATATAAATTATCGCAAGAAGACAAATTCAACTATATAATATGTCTGTAGCAAGGACACCCTAATATAATTTCTCCTACAAAACTTTGTGAGAATATTATAAACTAAAACATACTCTAAAGTCACTAAAAGTATGGTTATAACCTGATATTATAGACATACTAAATTGCACAATTAAATTTACTGTTGATTGCAATACTATGCGCATCTCCTGTTACCTTCACAGATGTGAAATAAAAACTTTTCTAATGCGAAAAAAAACTGTGCAGTGTTTTTTGATTCACTCTGTATATACATTTGGTGCCTAGCGAAAGACCTCACCTGTGTTGTATGACGGTTTTTATTGCCTGAGCTTTTGCAACAGCAAGCGCCAAGCTAGGCTGAACATCCTCAGAGCCACTACTGATCACACGGAGCAAGGTAGGTAGTATTAAAGCATTATGACGCACGTACAAGCGTGAAAGCAAAACGACGGCTAAACTCGAGAGTGAGACTGCAGAAGCTCCCGATACACCGCCACTCCACATGGCAATAAGCATATTGCGGATCAATACAGCAGACATCTGTGTAGAACCATACAATGCACATATATATTATATATAGAACAAAATTTCGATATCGGCCAAATAATATGGAGGGACTTTGAAATTTGATAACTTTTACACTAGGCGAGTGATCATTTTTTAACATGTATCAGCGGTACTATATCTTTTACACACCCGCCCCAGCGCTCTGACATTCCTTGAACAGCCATGTACCTACTATTGGGGTTATCATATGTAATTTACTGTCAATAGCTTTTTCGAAGGTGAAATATACTTTCCGATTAATTGTCGTCTTGAGGGCTAAAAACTTTACAATTACACAGATTTATATAGGTTTGAGGATAATGTTGTATGTTCCTTTCCTCAAGCCAGGAAATAATTGAAACATCGCGATGAGTTCGGGCGTCGTCATCAAGTAACCAGACTGTGTGCCTTTGATTGCCGTGCTAACGGTCCATGAGTTTTTTTGAAAAACTCGACGTAGCTGGCTGCATTCAGTGTTTAATCTATGGTGGTAGATGTGTACTAGCAGATGCCTCTAATGTTCGTTGCAAATACTGCCATCATTTTACGTCCAAACCTATTTGGCACTGCCATTAAACTCGACTTCTCCCCAAAGCGACGCTATTCTCTTTCCTGGTTCCCTTCCGGCTGGAGGTAGAAATTGAACGATGTTTCGTTTATGCCGATCCAATGCTCCGCAATGAATCCAAAGCTCTGCAAATCGCACGTGTAATGTACAGCATACATTTTCAAATGGCCTGGAATCAATATACGAGGCGGCTCATTTTTACTCTGTTCCCGCATTTTTAGCGTTTAGCTCCACAACACGTCACATGTGTTGTGTCGGTTCCAATTTCGACCAACAGAGACCTTGAGCCCAAGCTTTGATTTTATCAAAATTTCCTTGGTTGCAGCGATGCGTTTTTGTCCTTTGGGTACCAACATCTGGTTCGTTCCTCGCCAGTTCTCAACACTACAGTCTCTATTTTTGTAAAGTTTGCATTATCCACGTACCGTACTTTCGCTTAAGGCCTATTTGGCTTATGTTTTCACTAAAACTTCAGTAATATTGCGCAGCGCTGTGGTTTTCCAGACATAAAATCCTGACCATTAGGCGTTGAGTTTTAAGATTAAAGATGTTTTTTTTCTGAATTAATTTTTCTGAATGGAATAAATTCCATCGTCTTTATTAGCTAATATTTTTGAAGACTAAAGAAATTACCAGCCAAATTTCATCTGCTGGCGACGCGTATTTAAAAAGTTATACAGTTTCAAAGTGCATCAGATTCGCTTGTAACAGCTTAATAAATCTTATATTTTTATATTTAAGTGTATATAGATTTCGAGATTGATTTATTAAGGGATGACAAAGTTCGGCGAAAGAAACATTTTCAAGGAAGCTCCGAAATGTTACTTTGTTACTATATGCCGCTGTTTATGAGATGAGATGACCTTTCTTTAAATAACGTCCTCAAGTTATTCATATTTGCTTTTAGCGCTCCTGCACCCTCTCCCCTCCTCCTCCCCCCACGCCGATTTTGATAATTTCCTTAAGCAATTTGCAACCGCTGCCTTTTTTCTTTGGTATTAAGCTGATGTAAACGTTAGCAGCCGTTATTTGCAACGTTTTATGGGTCTGCCACGTTACTTGCTCGGGTCGGACACTTTTGAACGTCTTTCAATTTTGTAATCTATTCGACTTTGTTAGGAGATGCCAAATTAATTAAATTTAATTTACGTGAACAGACATTATATTAAAGCTTTTTACTGTGCCATAGCTAACGTGTTCCACAGGAAAGTATTGGTGCCAGACTATTTCAGCCTTCAGATAAAATAGAATTTTATCTACAAGTAAAACCAATAGCGCGTGTCAGTTGGAGAGGGAAAAGCTGCTTTGCACTTGTTGTCTGACATCCCTATTGGTCTGCTATCTAGAGTAATGCCTATATTTAAAGACAATGTATAGCGTAACCTTAACCTAAATTGAAATCTACTCTCGGTTGAGATCTTTTGTCCCAGAAAAGTATACCGCACTACGAATCAACTGATGCCAGAGAATGTATCAATGCTGGCCATAAAATACGTCTGGAATGAAAAAACGCATCATTGATAGAACAGTTTTTGCAGACTGGACAAAAAAACTACCTAAATCGTGAAAATCATGATGATTGTCAGAGACGGGTTAGTCTTAATTATGCTTAAACATTTGCATCTTTACGGCATAAGCGCCAAGTGCAGGCCAAATTTTTTCGTTCTAAACGGAAAACTAACGAAAGTTCAGTACCATTAGATGTACAAAAATTATTAGTATCACTTGCAAATCTGCCGACAGCAAAAAGGAAGATACTATTGCAATAAGATATATTAACCCAGTCCAGGCTGATCAATTAATGACGGTTTAAGTAACAAAGTTTATCCCCCATCATTAAAAAAAGCTTATGGGTTACAAGTTTTTCATATCATCCCCTAAAATGCTATTCTATTTTATCTGCAAAGCGAACTTATTTTTTCTTCAAAAACTAGCGAAAATCAATTTTTCGGCTCATATATCATCACTGCCATCCCCTCATACTATCAACTTTGTTTGTTAATATAATTTTTAAGGGTAGGTTAGCTCATAATCCAATTGTAGCTCCGAAATTTACTTTATATCGATAGATTGTTTTTAGTTTATGGTTGCCTCACCTTGCAAATAGATTGAGCTAATGACAATTTTATACGTCTGCTGCAAAGGTTGTCTGACCGCCTAGTAACGCTTCTCAAAAAGCTGAATAATAAATGAAGGCTGCGGTTTCCTATTACTTGAAAGGATGATTTTTGACTTTTGCATGAAATTGTCAAGAAGCGCAATGAACTTTATCTATAAAATCGAGCATCCTCCAGATCCGAAGTGCCGTTGTTGAACCTCTGAAAATCCTTTCGGCAGTTTCCTCAGACATCAAATCCACGAAATTCAGCATAGCATTTTTTTATATTTATTTACTACTTTATATAAATATTTAGAATTACATTACAAAGATTCTAACCTAAGCAAAAGTTAATATTTAAGACGCATCGATAATGCATTTTTTTCGCCAGAAAATTTTTTCAGTCTGGACCCTTTAGTAGCATTTATTAGTGGGCTTATGGAAGAGAATGCTAGATAAACGTGAAGATCAATTAATTATACATCAACCAAATAGTTTCTATACAAAGGTTTAGAGATTATTAAAAGAGCAATTAAGCACCTCCTCGTATTAGGAATTCTTTTGAATGCCAACAGACAAATCAAGCACCATATAAAACATGATATAGATATGGCTTGCGGCGCACAGACTTCTTCGCTGTCCGCTTTCATAGAAGAAGGCAGTGTCTCAACTTTCTGTGCTAGTATGTACATTTCATATGCGCAGACAAATTTGGAATACCCGTACTTACTTGAGCATCTAAAATAGCGATACTCGTGATGTATTTGTTGAATTTTTAGGCTTAATGATAACCTCTGTACTATCATTCTTTACATCAGGTACAGAGATGCAATTGTCGAAATTAAACGTATTGAGTACCGAAGGCATCATCGGTATTTAATAAACGTTAACATTCAACATATGTACATGTTGCCCTACACCAACACGGCAGCTCTTCACATCTCAACGACTGGCTGAGTTTATGATCTGGTTTTTTAGTTGTAGGGTATAGCTTATATTAAGTAGATTAAATTAGCACCAACATCGTGTTGGTGCTAATTTAAGAAAAAAAAAAGGTAGAAGCACAAGAACAGTACACGACACAAAGCTAACTACGAGCTGAGGAAAAACGCCTTGGCTTCATCACATCTAGCAGACAAGTTCTTTATGTTAATTTCGGTGGCTGAATCATAGCTAGCATAGTAGTGTCATGATATCTAATTATCTACAGAGACTTGCCTGCTTCCCTTTTAATTTTTTTTTACATTTTAGGCGTGAAATATATAATCCCCGAAAATTAAAAAATTCGTAAACTGTATGCGACTTACTTTAAATAATACGGTCCCTTTAAAATTGTTGAACGCTGAATTTTACAGCGAGCAACAAGTCAGATTTCTAAATTATATGGGTGACCTAAATGTACCCTAATACAGTTGAAAGTGGTCCATTTATACCCTTCATAATGCCATCTCAATTGGAGGTCCTGGAGCTATAATTCAAACTAAATTTAATTAAGTCACTAATAGCACACAAGCTTACAGCGCTTTTTTTTCGCTATTTTAACACCGGGACTTTATTTGAATATTTATAGCAACTTAGTCATTTTTGACTGATACAGTATTGTAAACCGTATCTTTAGAACTACAGAGAGGAACAGAAATGTGCACAACTAGATTATCAATTCTATGCAGAATTGAACTAAACGCTATTAATCTACAGTAAAATCTTCAAACTAAAATATTTATAAATGAAGTAGGGAAAAAAGCCGATGTATGTACTTCAAAGCGACTTTTAACTTCGGTTCATGAGCGATCGTGCCAACCAAATTGCTTAAGAAGGGGTCTTAACAAAAGTACTGCAAAACTGCTGGATACCTTCAACGACGATGGCGTGGAATTGAGCAAATAACAGGTTTAACACAAAACCTAAATCAATTTCTCTTCTCTCTCTCTCTCTCTCTCTCTCTCTCTCTCTCTCTCTCCATCAGTAGTCTCCCTCGCAAATACAAAAATGACGTCCCAACATAAAGACCACCTCATATGGGGCTGGTTTCGTAATATTAGGAATAAGTCACCATCACTTGCAGCCGGCATAATCTGACTGCCTGCGTAATCAAAGCTAGCCTGCAACTACAAATCAACTCAAGCTAAGGCCAAGGTCATAAAGTATAAAAAAAATCGCCTCTAATAATTCCTTAGAGCATGTTTAAAACTTGTTAGCTTTATCGTGACATTACTATGAAATTCGTTCGCAAAGAAGATAGCAAAAAAAGCTTTGAAAAGGCTGAAGCGCGGTCAAATATTGGGCTTAAACAGTGCACCGAACGCCTCGTACAGAATCCCAGTCGTCCAAGAGCTAAGTCGAGATCTGAGTCTTGGGTGGTTCTTGAACATAGTCCTAGGGTTGCACTCGTCGACTTACAATCGCAACGAAAAATAGACCTTACTATACATCAAAAAGCTGCATCTAATCTTCCATACATATTTTAAACCCGTAGATGTAACGATGCAATTCGTGTAAAATAATGATCATCATCTGTTCTCTCCTGTTACCCAACATATATCTGGGTCTATGCAAATGTCTAATAGATTTGTAAGGTCCATAAAGTATGTTCATTTTGAATCTCTATTGAACGTATTTAATAGAATACCACGCACCTTTATTCATCACCAGTTTACAAATATGTCTACAAATTAGCAACGCTAGCGGGCTGTACCCGATGAGAGTCGGTGAGCAAGTAGGACGAAACTGATATAAGGATACGTCATTCTAAAAGCTGCAGCCACTCAGTCCTCTAATATTTGACAATAAAATGGACTTCTTGGCCTTATTCTAGGACCCAATGTCAAATACTGAACTGCATACATTTAAATAAGAGTGTACGATAAGTAACAGTAAGTATAGCAATAATGCTGTAATATGATTAATATATTCGTAAGACGCACGAATTGTTATATAAATAAAAAAATACCACTAAAAGATTTTGTCCTATATAAATATCTCAACGCTGATTCGATATCCAGCTTACATAGTCTCGTGCAAGCCTCAACCCACAGTTATCGAATAAACTATGTTAATTGATACCTAGTTACCTGACGCGCGATTTCTCACAATTTCTATGTTGTCCGGATTTTCTTCTCAGTTAACAGTTAGTGTCATGGAATTCTATGCTCAGTAAGCAGCTCTCTCTCTCTCTCTCTCTCTCTCTCTATATATATATATATATATATATATAGGCGGATTTATGATGAGAAGTTTTGTTATACTTCATAAAAAACTGGCACGCTTTAACCCTCATGAGCTCACGGACATGCTAAAGAGAGCTGCGTCTTGTTAATGGTATAATTAATACAATGTGATTGAATTATTTTTATATGGATCATATCTGAGATGAATGTTTTGATTTGTTCCTCTACGCTTCGTTTACTCAACTTAAGTAAGCAAACGTCAACTCACCTTACTGGTAGCTATATGAGGTAACGATTCCAAGAGAGAAAAAATATTTTTCGGAAACATTTCTGCATCAAGACGCATACCGATCGCGAAGAACGCCAGGCAAGACTGAAAAATAAAATATCCTTAATTATGCTCTAAAATAGCATAGAAATTAATATTTGACTCTTTTTTTTGGGGTTAATTTAAAACGCATGTTTAGATCACTTAACCTATGCAATTACTGTACACTTAATTTTTCAAGCTATTTAGAGACTAAGAACAAGTAATATTGTACAATAAACCAGGTTGTATGGTTAACACCGCCTGAAGCAGTAGTTGACTCTAAGTCTCTTAGTTTCATTTCCTATTTCATGTTATTAGAAATAACATGAAATAGGAAATGAAAGGATTTAGAATAGTGTCCACAAAATTCTTTTGCTGTTAATTTGAAGGAAACAATTTTGGATCGTTGAAATCAGCTATACCGAGAGCGATATGCCTTTTATGAATCCATAGTGCCCTTCAGCTGAGATATCTTTAAATGACTGCTATAGGGCAATTCAGCTGCGGGACAATAGTTACCACTAATAGAGTACGAATCGTTTCAAAAGTGATAGCTGAAAAATAGCCGAAACGTCTCCCGAGATCTATAATAATATAAACATAATATAACAGTTCCAAAAGAGTTAAAACTACTGATGGAGTACTGTTAAGAATATAACTACATCTTGCAGGAAGCAGGCTATTCTTTTGAATAAACATTTTTGAAAAAAAGCTTTATAGTTATAAACTATAAATAGGCGGCTGTTCGCGATAGGACGTAAAGACAAATTCAAATAATTTTTAAAGTGTACCTTTACTGTCAAGCAGATGGCTGCGGCACTAGAGGCTCAGCCAAAAGGTTTTTTCGACAGTTCGCAGTCGATTCCGAAATGAAACAGTTAACTTGGGAGTTCCGTTGGACAAAACGACCCTTTCTTAACGAATTCGATCTCTTATATTGTTTAATGTCTAGAACATTTCTTACCAACCCATGTTCCGAGCGTGCATGTTACCCAGGCACGATAACTTCCGCAGTGACCCAGTCAGTGGGTTTATTCTAACCTATGCACCTTGAGCTTCTCAGACTGGACACTAACGCGCTTCACTTGGAACAATAAGTTCAATTCTGTATTTTCAGCTATTCGTGGCGAACTTTCTAGTTAGTAGCGATTACCAAGCGAATGCAGCTCCAAGTTGCCGTGCTGCGTCAAGAGGTAACGGGCGTCTGTTCTCTAATTTCCATTACTTCCTGACGAGGTATACGACAGAGGTAAACCAAATTAGATTCAACTTTTTAACCACGATTTGCACGTATTTGAAATGTCGGTCGCTTGGAGTGGATACGTAGTAATTCCCTTTGTTTCCAGCACTATTACCGGGACCTGCATTGGCTGTCCTGTGTACAGAAGCTTTTAACGTACATAACATCATCTGGCTCTGACCGCCATTCATGGTTGTCGTAATGCTCGTTGAACCGCGCTTCTGTCTCGATTGTGCTCGTTCCGCTAAATCCAGCTTCTTCGAAGCAAGACCACGTCGTCTGAATCAGAAGAAGTTTAGTGGTACATATCCATGAACGTCTACAGAACGTTTCACGCAGCTCCTCCAATCCATGCCTAAAGGAGGCTACGAACACCTCAGCTTAACTGTTCGACTGGTCGGCATAAAAAAGGGATGAATGAAAAATTGACGATACGCACGAGCTTCGGCATAGCGAAGCGATAATGCGATAGCCTTTCTTTAATACGTCCATTTAATTGATCCGTTGTATGCTCGTAGGGACGAAAATCATGGAAGATGTGTGCGTATGCAAGTAGTTGATTTAAATAAATGGTAGAACACCTCTGCTTTCTGTTGAGCACCTATCATCTCATACTGGTGCCGCGAGACCGTCCTTCCTTGTAATGTAATGTAAGCGTCGAACTTTGTTTAATCCTTTATGCCTGCGATAATTTACTTGCTAAGCGTCGTTGTCGCAATAAAGTCTTCTTTATTCTTCATTGAAGACTCTGTTCACACTTACGTTTCCCGTAATATTGAGCCAGTTGTGAAGGCGATCTATGCAGGTAACGACCAGCTTGAAGGTTTTAGGGATGAGAAGCAAAACGTGATAAAAAAAAACTATTACATTGTAGTGTATCCCAATATTCATCATAAGACCACTTAATACTTACTCTCTAATAATCGCAGCCGTAACTTCAACATTGCAAAAAGAGTTTCCCTACCCCGTCCATTTGGTATTAAATATGCATCTAATTTCGCATCTCCTAACTACAGTATTTGGCATCTAAACCAACTAAATATTACAAAATATAATTGAGACAGTAATGAAAATATAAGCTTTCTGAAAAACAAGCCCAAAAGGCATTAGTTTAGAAGGCGTAAATGCTTTCTTCTTAGGTAGCATCAATACAGCAGCTCAGAAAGCTTCGTTTCACGGCGACGAATTTCTGTCGTCTCGTTATTATAAACGTAGCAGCTCATTAAGAAAAGGGAACGTTGGACGATGTGAGCATTCGATTAAAGGTATAAACCCTCGCATCATCGCTGTTTTCAAGGTCATAGGAAGCAGGGACCACCCGACATACAACGCAATGACACCCGTGAATTACGTAATGAGTCAATACATATCGGTTGGTTATTAGTTTTTCAGACGGAAAATATGGAATATCGGTACACATATTTCACTTACTAGATCGGCTGGAATAATAGCAATGGACTTTTTCGTCCGTGCAAGAACACCACCTCCTTTACTGACACAATTTTGCCCAAAACGAGAAGATGCCGTTTTCGGATAACTTTTTTTGAGATCCCTGCTTACCTATTTCTAATACAGTAATACAGATTATATGGACGCTGCTTGTTCCAACATAGAAATAGGGCTGATCATGGGCTTCTTCTCATCTAACTAGAGACTATGTATCAAAACGAAAACACTTTAGAATATTTGCTTCACTAACAGGCCGTGACCTGGTCTGTTTGACCTGAGTTGTCGAAAATTCGAAATGTTGATTCCAGTTATTTAGCCAGTTCGCACTTATCTAACGATCTAATTCAATCAAGGGTACCTTCAGTATAGCTTGAAACTAACTAGAGAGATGTTCCATGCCATCTCACCCCCTGTCTTACTTAAAGGCCGATTTGTCGACTGCAAGATTTTAGTTGAATTTCCTTTTTCCCGCCCAGTATGAAAACTGATCTTATGCGCCGCAGACTGCTAATCTGCTGGTTTTGTCACTCTTGACTTGACAGGGGATTCAATCCGATTCGGTCGTCATCTTTCTTTTTTGTGCTTTGGTTTAAACAATTTGGTCTCTTATTTGCCATTGTACCCATGCAGTTGACCTTCCACAAGATGTTCCCGTACGCATTCGGAGCGACCGCCCTGCGTCTAGAACGTTTTCACATCAGAAACTATAGCCAGTGGTTTTATCGTAAGACGCGATTCTGTTGCTGATCAAATTATATATATTTGTCGTACGTTCATCAAACCGGCGTTGTTTTTTCCCGAATGACATACACACACGCATAACTAAAAACGGTACAATATATTGAGAGTTTATCTGGTCAGACAATATCTAAGATAATATCTTTACTCCCAATAGCTTTTAATGACTTAGCCTTCATATCGAGTGCCAAGATTTTTCTAGCACTAACTAGCAAAATTAAATGGCCGATTTTGTTGACCTTACCAAGTTCGTCAATATGTTAATACCATATTTAATAGTATTAAGAAAATGTTAGCCCAGTAATGAATCTAGGGATCCGTAAAACCTTTAAGCAGTTACAGCTGTATGCAAACTTAGTAGTTTAAGTTACAATCGTAATGAACTTCACTCTAATAATCACTATTGTTATATAAGTAACAAAGATATAATCCCTGTAAACAGTGGCTTTGGCGTTAGAATGGAGTAAGAATTATTATTTGGGTAATTCTGCCCAATCTAGTTGCTACAATGTAACTAGATACAACGGACATCTTGCTTGACCTATCCCCTAGATTTAATGCGGTGATTAAGGTAAAAGTAAAAGCGATAAATTGGGTAACTCACGTTATTAGAATCAGCGCAACAGAGAGCTTTAAGGATGCGAATCCAAGACGGAAGCTGCGGTCCAGCGCACGCGACCACCTTTCCAGCTACCAGTAGGCCCCGAAGCGAAGACGGAATATTCCTTGGAACTGCTGCTTTTGTCTTTCCATCATCATCATCATACATCATCAATGAGGGTAAAAGATCACTTGGAACTGTGCGTAAAGACTTTGAACACATGAATCCTGGAAAAGTTAATAGTCATTTTTACCACCGTTCACGATCTTTAACGATCAGTACATAGATTACATGACTTTAAGCTAAAAGTTCAATAAATTAAATAAGAGAAAGCGATGTCAAACTACTGTAACGGCTGCTCTGACATTATTTAATATACTTCACTTGCAAAGTGATTTGCGATACACCAGTGCATACAAAATTATAACTTTGGACTACGAATTCGGGAGGGCTGATATATTTAGAAAATGCATTTTACATAGGGCATGCATGAGTATGTCACATAACGGGGCTTGAGCCAGTAGCCCTCGTCTTCTACAGTCAGCAACTTAATCCTTTGCTGTAATGTAGTTTAAATGATGCGTTCCGTCCCCACATTGTAGCTATTCCTTTTTAAGTTCGAGACAAGCCGAAATTCTGTGACAAGCAGTTCTTAAGTCAAGAGTATGTAGTGAGTTAAGAAAAAATGAGTTTAGAGTTTAGCACACAGTGTGCTCTATTTTCTATAGTAAGATACAATGATTCTATAGTTTGGCCAAGGAGTCACGAAACGGAACTGAAGCAATTTCAGCATGGCGCAATTGTCGGAATGCTCGACCACCACAAGCTTCTCGTCTTACTGGTCGCTAATGGAATTATTATTTGATGATAACAAAGGTAAGGAGGAAGAAATAGCGTTGTAAAAAAGTTGGCACAAAAAACTTGTATGTTTGCTGTCACAGAGACTGCGGAAGAAGCCACGTTTGGCGAAATTAGAAAGGTGGTACAAAGATATTTCCACACGAGAAATGAATATCGCCTCGCAGATGTGAGCTTTATTTTTTAATTTTATTTAAAATATTAAATATTTAAACACATTCACGCACTGTTTCAAGGCAGATTTTATCTAACTTTTTATGTATGACCAGTGATTTTAATAGAAATTCATATTGTAAGATAGTAATTACCGAGATAATTTAGAACAGCTTACGTTTGGGGTTATGCCCAACAACCAAAGCTGGGTACCTCGTCGTCCACCGATGCAACAGAAGCGCGAGAAATCATCATCCCGACAGATTAAAGTGCCCTCGTAGTAGATCGATAACAAAAGTTGCAGTTATAATGATCACGACCACGTGCATAAATCCATATTATAATTCTCGTAATAGCCGTAAGCCGTAGCTCGTAAAGGAATCCGTTCATTAATATATGCAAAATTAAACGTACAAAAAGTGGTGATGGAACTACTGGTCAACTCTGGTTGTCGCACGCGAAAGCTTCACAGTGGACGCTGTTGTATTACGAGCATGAAAAAGATGACCCAGCCTGTCGAGAAACCAGACTTCAACGATCAGGATGGTCCTGGAACGTAATCAGCAATAGCATCCTACTCGATCGTTCCCCTTAAACTTTAAAAGATTAATGTGAAAAACCAAGTAGTATAACTAACTAAGATATGAGAGAAATAGCGTTTTCCGAAAAATTGATTCGTAATTCAAGATAGATTTTTTGGCTCCTTTTAGTACTTTCTGTTGCATAGTGGCCGAGAGTATTTTAAGTACTGAGATTGTCGAAGTTTTAAACTTCATACACACTTTACTATATCATACGAGTTTATGTAGTCAAGCGTAACCTAGTATGTGTACGATAAAACCTTCTCTACAAAAAAATTGGGTTGCTAGTAGAAAGATTCAGGTTCTCACCTAATGAAGGCCGTCTGAATAACGATGGTTAAAGGAATAGTGGAATAAATTTCAAGAGCCGGCGTGAATTTAGTCCGGCTATATAACCTTCTGGGAAAGAAAAGGTCTTCGTGTAGCCATATTGAGGAAAAAAGGCGTAGCGTCTTTAATATGAAGATCGTGTCAGACTGAATATAAACCCGAAAACAATATCAGGTGCTCATAGGCTTTTATTAGACGATTATACAGGAGTTCCCATGCTGATCGTGCTCGTCATACCCGCTGGCCTTTACCTCAGCCAAATAAATGAGAGCAAATTCTATACTGACCGTTAGCTATCGGAAAGCACAGCCATCACCCATTAAAAGAGAAGAACTCAACACCAGCTATTCTTTATATCGTTACTGGAGTGGCTTATAATCGATTGATCGAGCAGTATAACAGCATGTGAGGCAATCAAATCATGATATCACAACGATAAAATTAGAAACCATCAGGAGTTATAATAATGATAAAATGGTATAATCACATAATTATTAATTGGATCATTCATCAGGGAGTCATATTTGAATCAGTAACATACAAAAATGACAATTGTAAAAGATCGTAATAGTTGAACAGTAGTGATTCGGCGTGCCAGCTAAGTTAAGTGTGAGTTGAAAGGGCGGAAAATCGTATAGATGAGCTTCGCTCCCTTCGTAGGTCCTACAAACGACCCTACAATTTTTCAGTTCCTTAATTGAATGGTAAGATACGTTACAGAGTAGTTGTGGGTCCTGGTTGCTATAATCTAGATATTTTATTGGCAATATATGTAGTATTGACGCTCAACTTTTTTTTTATCTTTGTATATATATTATGATGTTACGAAAATGTATAAAAACATAGTATTTGAAGCAAACGTAGGCCCCGGCCTCTATTTTTCATTTTTGCTGAAGCTCAAAATATTGTGTACTCCAAGGTTTTTGTATAGTATTCCTATGGATCTCGTTTTAGCAGCTTAGTCGTATGCTTTGTGTATATCAAGATGCATAGTCAGTATGAAGTCTTATTCACCATTTATAAATTCAAGATGCCTTAAACAGCCTTTTCGCATGATCTGCTTGAACCTCTAGTTCATCTGGGTCAGGCAGTGGATCACAAATAGATCTTTCTGGAGTGGCTTCTAAGACCCACTCGTTTGATGAGTGCCGCTTTTATTCGATTTTTTAGAATTACTATATATGTTGTTTTTCTAAATTTTTTTTATATGGCTGATAAATTAACTTCCCCTGCTTGGGCACCGGAGATGGTGTCATGAGAAGGGAATGCTTTGATCTGAGCAAAGGTGCTCGGTTATAAAAGAAATTGATACGCACACAAATAGATGATATTACATTCTTCTGTACTGCCATGCTGAGAGGCCTAGTTGTATAAATGAGAGCCTCACTTGACCTTACTCAACAGGTTACAAAACTTGTGAAACATGCGAATTCCTTTAAAACTGTTTAAGAACGTTTTTAATCAGTTAAGAGATATTCTAAAGGCACTACTAATAACCCATTTTCATTTTATGTCAGTCGTGTAAATTGTGCCCAGACCTCAATATCGGTCCGATCGCTTATCCCAAGCAAAGTGCACTTCAACAATACCCGCTCTGATCATTAGTTTTTAGAAATCTGCCGGTATTGCACTGCTGTGATATTGTCATTGTGCGTTACTCGGTTACATACTATACCATTAGCTTAACACACTTGCCTACTACAACATGGTTTGTAGAATTATCTCTAACTCAACCACTGAGACGGATATATTTATTTTAAAACTGAAGTTCCTTTTTTTTTGTTATATATTTCCCATTAGAAGTCCGTGGTATATATACCAGTTTCGCTTTTGCTGTTTTGCTTTAAATACGTTAAGATGTTTCGCTGCAGAAAAAATAAGGCAAGTAGCGTATTGTTATCCATTCAGTAAATTCTACGTTATTATTGATGACGTTCGACCAAAGCTTTTCATCGGGTAAGTATCAAGTTCGAGATATATTCGATGTATATTAGTCTAAAAATTCCTGTAACAAGTTATATAGCCTATATGCTTAGAAATTTGACTAACCAGCGACTGCATGCATGATAAAACATTTAATAATAGTTCTATATAATATATAAGATAACTCCTATACATCGGGTAAGACACGTACCAACATAGGCATCTTTCGAGTCCCCATAACCTTCGTTTTTTATATCCAAAATAATTTTTCTGGCCGTTGGATGTCCCGCTACAGCTGAGTGACAGAGAGAAAGTGCGAGGTGATGTACTCCTGGTAAAAGCCGTTTATAAAAGAGGATTCGGGCTAGTTCAAGGAGAAGTAGCCCATAGAGACGACCGCAGGTTGTCAGGAGCACACAAAGGAGCAAGGTGACACAAGGGTGGGACGATTGGTCTCCCTCCTGGAATTTGAAAAAGATGAAGTTTTAACGAATTACTTAACTGACATTGTTTCTTTCTATGAGTTTCTGTACAGCTGTCAATGTTAATACAGCTATATCTGTTTAGTCTACCTGCTTAGATAGATAGATAGCTAGCTATCTATTTTAAAACTAAAACCCCGCGTTTGTTATTCGTCCAGCTTTATAATGTTTGTGGAAAGTTCAAATTAGGCTGATTTTGATTTTGAGGTAGGCACTGCTTTTTAATCATAGTTTTATCCTGGAAGGCGCTGTCCAGGTGGTAAAGCCTATTCGATAAATACTTTTCTTGCACAAGGTTTCTTTTTTCCATAGATCGTGACGTTAATTTGAGCAAATCAGTCGTTTTTGAGATATGCTAGATAAATGTGAAAAACCTGTAAACAATTTACAAAGAAAGATTGTCTTTTTCGAGCTCTTGGCCTAAATTAGAATAGAGGGAAATTTTCTTTTTGCAGAAATTTCTTGCAATTTAGTAATGAATCGTGATTTTCATCTAAATGATTAAATATAAATTACCATGGTTTACTTTAAGCGTACAAACACTTTTTCTGGGAGCAGGTTTTTTTCTTTATGAATTAGATAGATGCTTTTATCTAGAGCGGGATTGATTAAAATAGGAAAACGGGTAGATGCAGCAGAGTATCGAGATCGCAATAACATTTAAGTAAAAATCTAGTAAATGTGGATTAATAATAACTGTGTAAGTCTGAGTCAGGTAAAATCTCAGGCTGCCGTCACATGCACTGTTAATCGTTAACATTATATGTAGAGACTTTTTTTCAGTCGAGAGATTTTTCAGTCGTTTCTGTAAGTAGCAGGCCACGTGCCGTACATTACTCGAATCAGTGCGTTTGCAAAATAACGAGGTTACTGGGGCATTCTAATTAAGAGTTATCAATCACTGCTAAAACAAGGTAATAGAAAACCGCACCACGGTGGCCAGGTCATGAGTACAGAGTTGGAAATCCATCGAAGAAATATTATTAGTAGAATAGTTGATAATTGAGCAATCATTTGTTAAGTTGCCTGTAATATACATCAAACGTTCATTTGTTACTACCACGCGGTAATATTTGCGACGTGGTAGCAGGACTACTGAAACATTTCGATTTGAAAACGCGAGACGTAAAGCAGGGAAACTGCATTTTCAACTGGAAGTTTCGGCGTATTATCATACGTATAGCCGTCGAGTAGGCAAACAAACCATTTCTATTGCCAATTTAGTAAAGTTGCTTTTTGAGGAGAGCTCGAAAGAGGGTGCCGTTCTAGTTATGCCTTAGCAAGTATCTCGTTCTGCCATTGACCCGTTACACTCTTGTAGGTACTCCGATATCTCATTGTGAAACTGATCTTTTCTTTGGTGGAGATATCAATATCCTCATTTTTATTTTTTTACTATATATACACTTATCTAGGAAATTAAGTCGTTTTCGGAATGGTCGGAATATGAGATTTTCAAAATATATAATATCGACCGCTTCCAAGCTAAAATTGGAGCAAGTATTTTATGAAATAGTTTGATCGCTACCTCCGGCTCGTGCATTCTGGTAGAACCATAATCTTATCACAATAGAACTTCTGCGATTTCTGGGCGAAAAATTCTAACAAATGATTTTCCTCCATTTATAGCATTCCTCCGTTAAAACTAAATTGACATCATTAAGGAAGTTATGCACAGACTGGAAGAGACGATAGTTTGACGGGACAAGATTCGGGGTGTACAACAGATATATGAAAATTTACGATCTAAGTTCTCTCAGTTTTTTCTGAATAGCCGAACGTGTATGTAGTCTGGCATTGCCATGGTAATAAACGACGCCCTTTTTTCACTAGCATCAGCAGCATTCTGACTCGTTGTAATCTTAATAATTGCTAACAGTAAAAATCCGAATGAACCATTTTGCCAGGCGGCAGCTACTAACAGTGTAGGATTCCTTTTCCTTACTCCGGGCTTTGTCACACCACGTTATTATCGTACATGATTCACTTCTGATCACCTTTGATCAGCCGCTCTAAATTTGTTTCAATTTCGCGGCGTGTCCATCAATCTTCGCAGATGGACATATGACCGAGTAAATTATTTTGTCTCAATTCATGTGGCATTCAGACATCGAACTTTCTTGTAGCCAACCTTTTCAACTGGTTTAAAACTAATAAATGGGGAATGCTCAGTTCCTTGGCAGTAACATGCGTATTCACATGTCAATCTGTTCAACTTTCAAAATAATTTCATTAGTTTTTTCCTTAATTGGCCGACCATTATCGAACCGGCCGACATCACACCGAAACTTCCAGAAAGAAAGGGACACAACCGTCATTGGGACGTTCCCAGCGATAACACACCTTGATCATGAACAAGTTTTTTCATAGGCCTAAACGGCCTCTGTATCTTCATTGTTAGATTGCATGATTATGAAATCTAGTGAATTTTTGCATAAATGTCACTCTTTTTTAACACATATATCATGGCAAAATCCTAGCTCTCAAAAAAACATGTTCCGACCCTGTACCACTAAGATTCACGTGGCTTCAAAACCTCTAGCTAGAAGGAAAATCCATAATTTTTCGATAACTTATGCTATATACATTATGCTTTGTGTATTTATATAGAGGGTGTCTCAATGAAGGTGGGCAACTTTAATCTCACACTGCCTCCAGTGCTACAGTTTGACAGTCCGGTATTATTAAAAGTGAATTCCTATTAATAAGCACAGGAAGTTTGCCTGTCATTGATTACGTTGAACTTTTGCAGACAAAATGTTTGCAGACAAAAAAAAAAGTGACAAACTGTAAAAAACATAATCGAAGACTTTGAGAACCCTGGGTCGACTACCGATGTAAAACCATCGGCACAAAAGGAAATATTACGGTTATTTGGTATATTATGGCCACGAATATGAAATAACTACTTGCTGTCGCGCTTAGTAAATGCAGCAACAAGGACTACGTAGCGTATTTTCACGAAAACTTCGTGTACTCATGTTTACGAAGTCCAGCTGCCTCAACAACATAAGCTCGCAGGCCATTGTTAACGAAGTGAATTTGCAAAAGTTGTTTTCGAAGAAAGTTGTATTGAGCGACGTGACTGATTTTCGTATCGATGGCCTTGTAAGCAAGCAAAGCTCCTGTATTTGGAGGGATGTACATACGTTTGATAAAACGAAAATGCGTTCTAAACGTTTTACCACTTAGTGATGATTCTAGACTGGAAAACAGCACTGGCTCATTTCTATTTGAAGTGCGTAAGCAGTCAACGGTGGACGGTACGCAAACATTATCATTCAATTTTTTATCCACCGAATAAATTTTATACATCTCAAAGATACGTAATATCAGAAGGACTATTCCTCTCGCTATACATTAATGAACCAATGACACATCGTTTCCCTTTTAAATGAGCAGAATTGGCTATCGCTTAGATCATTTTTCCTTAAAAATATTTGAAGTCGAAAATTTATTTTAACTTGCTCGTTATCGCTAAGGCCTTAAAGAGGAAATTATACACTGCTATAAAATCACTGAGATCCAGGTATAATGATCGAGGACCGTACTTGAAAATGCTATGAAAAGAATGCAGATGTCCAGATGCGTTGTCCCCATATGTGTTATTTTTACATGAAAATCCCACATGTGTACTTTATAATGAAATCAAACATTCGTAATTAAAGCAAAATTACATTAATAAATAAACTCTACACGGGGTGGGTTAAAAACGTTTTAAAAATTTGAAGTCCCTTAAGCCCTACGACAATTTGCGGGTATCTACCATAACTGCAGGGGATACGCTTGTTATTGTAGTAGAAGCACCCTAATACTATTATTATGATACCGTGCTACAGGCATACGACAGGCCATAATATTACTCGAGGTGAAGTCCGGTTTATGGCTGCAACTATGACCGACTTGTAAATAAGTGGAAGCGATTTTGAAGAATACGCTTTATCAGCCGCAAATTGTGAGATTTTAATTAGTGATAAAATGTAAGTCCTTTCCCCTCAAAAATAAAAAGCAATTCATCATCGTTTAGCTTCCAATATGACCGAAAAATTACCATTATTTAGAATCTTCGAGTCGGGCGCATTGCTGCCGAAGTAGAGGCGTTTGGCTGCGCAGAGTCAACGATTTAAGACACTTCGTTAAAGAACGTAAAAAATACACCTTTTAAACAGCTTGATCTAAAGTTGTAAAAATGGTCAAAGTAAGCAGTGCTTATACTGACAAAAATTATTATTCAGGGATGCGTTTGTTAAAATAGGAAAAATAACACAAAAAACATTAGTTACATATGTAACGTATTATAGATAAAAATATGTCGGATGAGCTTATATCACATAGCTTATGTGCTATATTTTTTAGATCGGTTTCAGTAGTAAAATAAGGGAATTTAAAGTGTGAGCCATGAAACGAACACATCCATAAGTAACCCATACCAACATGTAAACGACAGCAAGGTAATCGCTTACTACATGCAGGAATAAATAACGTTAGTTCGTGTAGTTCCTAACTTCCCGTAACTAACCCGCTGTGGACAAATGGGTATAGTCTAACAAATCCTTATGAATAAATTTCCACATCTGTGCAGCCATAGCGAACTTTCTTTTGCTCGCCCTTGGGTAGGCTACTCTTCTTGTGCATTTGGTTTTATTTGCAAATATTAGCCTCCACTTGTAGTAACTCCCTAAAGTTGAGTATTGTTTCAGTCAACGCACTTACCGTACATGAAAGTGGTAACTAGTACGCTATCCCGTACAGCATAGTTTTATGTTAACTCTGCTAGATGATTTAGTGCTGCAGGCACGCAAATATGTAGCTGTTCACATATTTATAAAAGACCGGTTTTTTTTCAGGATATCTTTGTTTCATGTTTACAATCTGATATCGTCATAAATCTTTGAGAAGTTTGATGTATGCTGTTTAACATAGACGTGATTGACTGATCACACTTTGCCATTAATAATTATAACGCTTTGCATCTATGTCGCACTCAATGAGGAGAAAGTGAAATAACTACCAATATACAATCTACCAATCTAGCTGTTTTTTTTTTTTTTGCTAATTAGTATTCCCACGAGAACTGACACTGGCGTTTGTCTCCACTATGGCTGGGTTACAGGCCTGAATCGCTAGCGGCTACTCGATCTTGTGTTTCGAACATCTCTAATTTATCTAATCACTATCCCGACGCCACATGTTTCCACGACTAATTTTTCTCAGATAACGTTTCCAACATCCTACTCGGCTGTTGGCGGGATATTTGGCGCTACCAATTCGAATTTGACAGCAGTTATTCATGGCCTTAGACTCTGACATTCTCCGAATAATAGTTACACAGCCTTCTTACCACTAGTCGTGGAAAATATGTCTATGAAACCGAAGTATATATGCTGTAAGACTTTCGACGCTATATTCTCTGAGCTAGAAAACATTTTATTTATAAAATTTTATTTCAGAAGTCCTTTGAGGATTACAGTATTAGTAGAACAAACCTAGGATTTATTTTCTCTAATCCAGGCTGGAGATGTGGTTTCTCAGCTGGCACTAGGGCGACTATGAGCCCCGAGGATATCGTCAAGTTCCTGCCCATCTTTTCTTTCTCACAGATAGCTCGATAGTCGCCTCTGGCCCGCTCAGCATGAATTAAGCTACTTTTCGTCTTTACCCAGTGCATTCGTATTTCGTCACCAACCCCTCGCCCACAGACGCAGCTCTAATTGTGAAAATCCGCAGTGGCTGTACAGCTAGCAAAAGGAACAACTACATTGGTCCTCTGAAATTTTTCAACATGGCCGTCAAAGTATTTTAGAGGGGATAATAGTTGACCACTGCATTACCACCGACGAAATGCATATTGGTATTATGGAGACCAGTCCGATTGACCGTTTCGGTAAATAAGCTTTTTCGAAAGCCAAACTTGTGTGTGCTTGAAGCTTAATCGATGTGCGCCGCTCGAAGGTTGTGCAAAAAGTGATAACAGCTATGGGCGGATAAAAGCTTGGATAAAACCTATTTTTTTTAAATAAAAGAAATAATAGCAGTTGTAAAGGCGGCCGGGAACTAAAAGGTGGCCGGAGAAACGTTTTATCCAAATACAGATCAACCCAAGTCAACATATCGAAGTTCTATCTATACCAGTGTAGCTTCTACAACGCGTTGGCTAGGTTACTGTCCTAGATCCCGTTCCGTAGTTTTACCAACGTTAACCCTCTCCTATTTATGAAAAATCAATACCTTCGCATTCTCCCAATTGCTAATGACAATATTGATTGAAATAAACGAACACTCCATAGCCGATGACCAAACTCCGGCTGACTCATGCCTTTCTAGCGCACTTGATGTCTACCGCTCCCTAAAACTTACATCTCCAAAACAGGACCATCTCTTTCTAAGTGCTCCCGTTCTCCTGCTTTTCCTGTGCCTGCTGCTCTCACCATTGATGACGGCCTACTTCAGTTTAATTATACCAATCTTCTACTCGGTCTTCTACTACAGAACATGTCCTTTTTAGCAACCCTATAATAATCGCCTTTGTCACAACGTGTCTTCATCTAAAGTTCTTTGGACTGCCTCTGAAAATACTGATCTTAGTTTACAAATCCTCGTTTTTTGCTCTTATTTTTTGCGAGGTTATATCGAGGGGTAGGTCTTCGTTATGTTATACAAAATTACGCCCTGCATGCCGTTTTTGTAAGTCCTCGTGCCTCTTCTATCTTTTTTTATTGTTTACTCCATACTCGGCCCATACATAAACTACGCCTTAGATTGTTAACCGAGAAGTCCATTTGAATCCCTCACTGCATCACCTTTTACGAGGTGGTTACTCGATTAATCCCCATATACCGCTCACTCCTCTCAGCTCATATCTCTGTTACCATCAGGACCTGAATTACCAACTTTCTGTCACCTGGAACACTCTCCCAAATTTTCTCAAAAAAAAATCTAGTGTTCCAGAGCTTCCATTTAGATCTTGTAACTCTACCGCCTCCAGTCTCAACTCTACGGCGCACAAACACTTGTTGTACCAACGTTGTAAATAAATCAAGTTTCAACTCAGATTGATATTTGACTATTTACTTAGATACTGACGTGTCTTGCGGTGCCGAAGAGCAAATAAGAAAACTTCCTTTTGCACTGTTCAAGGTTATAAAATGCACGCTACTATCAAGAGAAATAATGATCGAAAAAAGTGCAGTAATCTTCGAAAATTTAATAAGTGACAAATAAAATATAGATTTCTGTGAATCTACAGAAACTTGTACAATAACAGTAATGGCAAAAAACAGCTTTCGTACTATTCGTACTAACCTTGAGGTTGCTAGCAATTTGCAGCGCTGTAAATATTACAAAGGAGAAATCGGCATCTTTCTTCGTCGCTGCATCTCGTAGGAAAACCAGAGCTGCTACCAACGAGGAGAGCCCTCCAAGTGAACCCAAATTATCGGACAACAGTTGGCCCAGCTGTAAAGTGAAAAAAAAATCGTGTAGGGTAAGCGAATATTGATGCCTCACACAAACATCATGTTTGTGTCGGTGAAAAATGTTTATATTTCTGACTCAAGCTGATTTGTTAAACAATTTCCTCGGCACAAATTCTTTGGAAAATAAAGATCGACATTACTATCTGTTTTGCTGTGACATTGAATGTGCCTAGTTTATAACTCAGAAATGCATCTACTATTTAAATATATAAAAATGTGCGTAGCGGCATTACTTTCTGAGTAAGTTGAATATAGATGTTAACTAGCTATCGTGAGCTTCGCGTAAAAGGCCTAGAAAACGTGCAACACATCCATAACCTTTTCTTGCAGCGGTTGCTCTCACAAATCAATTGACTGAAGGTGGCATTTAAAACCTGTATAATCATCACTAATTTTCTTTGTTTTTTCTTATTATATATTCCTATATCGCATTTAAGATTAATAATATACATACAATTGCCGTTAAGAAGTTGAAGAGTCTGCTTATGTGCGCCCCAAGGAAAATAAGGTCAAACTACTTTTATTATTATATAAATAGTAATGCCAAATATGAAATCTTGTTTCTGACATGCGTGGAGAACAGAGCGCACGGGTATGGTTGAGCTACTATACAATACTGGAAACAGTTAATAATTACAGTAATTTTCAAGCTTAGACATCTTTGAATTTTGAAATCCTAATCCCTAGAGTACGGTTATGAAGCTCAGAATTCCTTTTCCCTCTGCAAACTACTATATGAGGAAGATGCTTGTTTATCACACAACATTTCTACCAGTTGGCCATTACCAAAGCAGTTTTAGTTTTTTGAATTTCGACATGGAAAGGTGACCTCATTAAAAAACCTTTAACACTAAAAAAATGTTATGTGGAAGTATTTGCACTAAATTCAAAACCAACTTAAAATTTAGGTATCAGTAAAAGCACTACCGGTTTTCGCACCTGGCAAAGATCGTGCTAAATGAATTTTACGTTTGTTTATTAAGGAGCCAAGGAATGGTGATAGATGGCACGTGTTGATACGTTGTTCACATCGTAACAAGCAACGAATTATGAATGTACGAGTTTGATCCGGGAAGCAGGCACGCTACGTTTTTGTATTAGAAGACAAGACTCCGTTGGCGAACAGCAGGCCGATCATGATCGCAACTTTTTTCAGCAGTGGTGATTATATTTGTAGAGCACAAATCGGCCACTGCTGCTTACTACGCTGTGGTTTGCCTACGGACTCGCTTAAATAGCACCGTCCTTCTTGTTATTACCACCTTACGCTACCAAACCTAAAATTTGATCTACTGCAGCTTTCCAAAGCCATTTAAAACCTGAATCTTTTGGATAAAAGAACAAAATTAAGAATGTAGAAATGTCAGAAAGAATACTTGAATATACGCACTAAACACTTTCTATCTATCATAATATTTTCGAATCCGCGAACTCTGACCGTAACTTAACATTTACTGGACTGCATAATAAATTGAGTCCGCGAAACAAATGTTTTCACTTATATATATACACAGACATTTCCTTCTCTAGATAATTTTTTCTAGAAGTAAGGCTATGATGCACCATGACTTCGCTTACCATACATACTCACCGTCTTCTAGTTGAGCAAGAGAGAGCTAGCGTAAAAAAAAGCATGATTATAACATGAATAAAGTTACCTGGAGTAGATGAACTGATGGTACTGAACCGGGCAGCCAACGTGTGTAGAGATTTATCAGCGATCGCCAACGGCTAAAGTCACTTAGAAGCAATTGATTGATTCTGTAATATTGAAAGTAAGAGCACACAAAGCTTACTTTTTGTTCTTAGAACACTATTATCTTGCATTATGTACCAAAGTATCGCTCTAAATTTACTTCAAGCAATAGTTACGCCGTTCTGTATATCACCAGCAAAAACTACCGGTTACGTGCAAAGTGATGGTACTGAAGTGTGCAGTCATGTGATCAACTTACTAAAATTACCCCTGACCCTAATCAGTGATCGATGACATTATAATTTTGCAGTCGGATTAAGATGTATGGGATATGGACCATACCAACTGCCAGATGCCTATTTTCTAGTTGTGTAGAAAATTTCATGACGACAAACGATCGACGCGATTATCTTTTTAACTATACGGTGCTGGTTATAAACGCTGAAAGACGCACTCCGCTACTTATAACGCATGACTATCTGTTCCAATACGTATTCTCTGTTTACGATGGCGATAAGTATTGCGGAAGAAAAATTCTTACATATTTCTCAAAGGATGATGATAAAACCATCTTCGATTCGAACGATTAAATGACCACTTAAATAGTTAGATATTTAGATCAATTAACGTCAGTTCGGACCGTAGACCCCGTTGCGGACTTTGTTGGTGCGCTTTAAATTGTCAATGGCTACTGTCGTCAATGGGCAGTCAGCTTACCTCGGTTGACAATCCACTGGAACGGGGTTATCCGTTTATTTTCCATGGGTAAGTTCGTCACAACAGATAAAATGGTTACTACAAGTCCTAAGAGTAACGGTAGGATTTTTGCAGCCAATTGTGCGTGAAAGCCGCTATTAGGCAGAATCAAGTTTAGGACGTTTGCTGGATCGAGAAGCCGTATATCCCAGGTTTTGTCACCCCCATGCGGTGCCAACGAGCAACCAGCCCATGTCGTATCCGTACCCGCATCGCAAAAGCAATACAAACAGTGTGGAATGTGATAGAATTTTCTTTTGGTCATTGGACTTTACCTGTTGTCTTAGTAAAGAAGAAAGACGGTTTGATTCTATTTTGTGTAGACTATCAGGGATCGAACACCATAGTAAAAAGGGACGTATTTATCGAGCTGCGAATGAACGATGCCCTGGACGTGTTGGAAGGACAACAATATTTTCTACATAATAGTTGATGAATGGTTATTAGCTCATTCTCATAGCACCCAGAGATAAAGCAAATACCCGAACAGCTTGTATCAATTTAACCGGATGCCATTCGAGCCGGCTAACTTTCCGGTGACTAATCAAGCCTTAGGTAAGCTGCGATAGTAGATGGCTTTGGTTTATCTAGATCACAGTTTTTTCAGAAAATTAGAGGAACATTTGTATTTTTTTTCAGCAACTGCTTCTGTTCTCAACGCTGCTATTTGCGCATTAGGCCTCAAAATGCTCGTTCACTATATAGAAAGTTATAGTTAAGTACTTAGGTTATGGGTTTTCCGCATAGGACGCTTTCCCTGACTCACAAAAGGTGACCTTATAGCCATATATCGATAGTGCGCTAGCAGCGAAGATACCTGGATCTAACGTCATACTACTATCGGTTTGTGTGGGTTGGGCGTTGCGTTGGGTACGGGCAGTACAAGAGACGGAAAAGTCGTGGTTATGTAATAAATTTTCAGCCCAGGAGAGGGAAGTTTGTCAATGACGAAATGTTTGGGTGTCCTTCAAACTGTAAAAAGTTCTATTTGTACATGCTTGGGCAATGTTTTATGGTCACCCCCGATAGTAGCCTACTGAAATACCTGCAAAAAAGAGAAACTTCTCTCTTGTCAATGCCCTATCGCGCCTACTCATTGGGACATTCTAGAACCGTGGACGCACTACAATTTCGGGCCTTAATGTCCCTGACTGGCTATCGGCCGAGTCAGCGGTGTCCATTCCTTACCATCAAAATCGTCCGGGCCTAATTAAGACCGTTTACCAGTTAGCGTCATGTAATTCTCCGAAGCGGGTGTGTGGGTGTCTGTCCGGGAATGTGTTTGCAATTGCTGAGCCTCTCAAACAACGAGGTCGCCTGCCATAGGTGCCCGTAAATCCGCCAACACGGTTCTTCTTCAAGGTGGGTTTCGATTCTATCGGATCGCTGCGCATCATCTCGTTCATCTTTTCTGAGGTCGGCTCATGGACTGCACGAGATCTTATATACACCCTTCAGAATTGTTGGGAAGCTATAGAAGCCGGCGTCACTGACAACGCTAGTTATGTTCAGGGTAGGTACTATAAACATTACTTTGTATGCTGCAGTGTTTGCAACCGTGTGAAAACTGTTCAAGTCTTCTCATTCACCGAATGGGCCGGTACAGCAGACTATCCGCATAGTTACAGAGCAGTTGCCCGCATGTTTATTGGATGCTTCCAGCGACATTTTACGTTAAATACTACGGTGGGCAAAACTCTAAGCGAAACTTTGGTTCCGGAATTTGTGCCAGCCTAGTTGACCAAAATCTGCAACCGATACCAATAACACCAAGAATGTTTGACCGAATTATGTCAGACAACCATCAGATTAAGGCTAAGGCCATACGCACGGGCCGTAGGCATATCCAATGGATGCTTTTGTCCTATACTAAGAATCTGAGTATAAAGAGCTAACTGTGCATTGCGTGATACGTTTCCTCACTGATGATCAAAAACGCATTTGAATTAGTGTTTCGAAAACCGCGTTGGAGCACTTGAAGTAGTTAAGGCGTCGATTAATTAGTACCTGTAGATAAAACGGATATACATCACTATATTCACGAAACCATGGTACAGTTCAAACGGCAAACTGCAAAAGGGTAAGTTAACTTCAAAAAACGGAACTGTTCCATCGGCCAGGAAAATTATAGGATTGTGTAAATCGACTATCTTAAAATACAGTAACGGGTACATAATTTTTTGGCAAGCTGAAAACAGTGATTGTAAAAAAAAGCTGCGTTTATTCCACCAAGGTGATGCACCACTTTCATGTGCACCTTGGTGATGCACCAAGGTGATGCACCTTTCAGTGATTTCCGCGCCATTTGGGATTCGAGTTGATTAATCTGAGCTATTTTTTTTCTGTTTCTTAAAATTTTCTGTTTCTTAAATATCCGCTTAAAGAGCACGGATTTTAATCGAATGAGGACGCAATTGCATTCGTAGACGCGTATTATTTGAAGATGCCAACAACTATTAGGACATGCTTAATCAATGAGATTATCATTGGGAAAAGTATAGAGATTAAGAAAAAAAAGTAGAATTCAGAAAAATTATTTGCTTCTGTATTAAGCTGGAAACTTTTCAAGCTGGTTCCGAGCGGCGATGGATATACAATATTCTCCAGCCAGTCGCCTAGTTGCTCATCGCCAGCAGTCAAAAATTATCATTGCAGGTTGGTTGACCGTATATATATATGAGGGCCAGAGTAGTTTTCGTACTCAAATTTGATTGCTTAGATGCATGTAAAGCCAACACAGTAACATATTTGCCAGCCGGGGCGCAAATCGGAAATCTCGCGTACTAGCGAAAATAGCACATCATGTTTGCGTCTTTGTTTCTCATACTTGTTTCATAACAGTTTAAAGGTGCGTGCGTTTGAGCCAGACAGTTTAATTGGTTATTGCTTTATTCGTTAGATAACAAGACAATACACTTTGGAGTACAGAATAATATGATATTGTCGACACTGTGTAGCTAGTGAATTAATCGCAGCTTGCAGGTACTGGCTATTCTTAGAGATACAAATCTTGATTGGTATAAAATGAATGTATCATGTCCTTTCACACACCTTTAGAGGCAGCATGCTTACGTTGAGTTCATAGAGATAACATGTATTTAATACAAAAGTGTTGAGTAAAATGTACGATATTGTGTACAATGTATCTAGTTAGTCGAAGGAACTGGTCGATCCATAACTTTTACCATGTAGAAATCCCTCATTATGCTCATTAAATAATCTGTAAGATCTATAATAAAACATTCATAGGTCTTACCTCATTCTTAATAGTGCATGTTCTATAGGCCACTCAGCTCGCAACATGATGTCCAAGACAATAAACTGGATCTCTTCGAATCGCAGTGAATTTCTAGTTTGTAGTGTCACTTCTTCAGCTGCCATGCGACTAACTGATCTTTCAAAACGTTGCAAATCATTTCTTTCCTTCAACCAAGCTTCTAAAATGCAGGAAACATAGGGCCACACCATAGGGTATTCATTTAAAAGAAAGATGAGTGGGTGAGTGAAGGATGTGACTGGATGCACTCGAGGCAGTAACGAAAACGCTGGCGAGATGTGAGCAACTGTTGAGGAGTCCGTCGAGTCTCTGAAGCAAGGTAAAGATCATATGAGATTTAAGAAAGGCTTACAGAATAAATGGAATTCATAGATATAGTAAGAACACCCATTTATTTATTTCTCAAACGATCCTTAGCTTGCCATATTATGTATCGTATCGAATTTAATTAAATGTTAAAAATGTGTTTTGAATCTAATACATTTAACAAACTTATTCTGCTGCTCGCTCTGGCTTCTTCCTGCAAAGCGCTAATGGGCACGAGACGGAAAAACGTGAAGCTAAACGAGGCGTCTCCCATTGCAAAGTGCGAACCTACATTTAATAGAGGCGATTGGTCACAAAACAATGCGATGACACTTGCATAGTATATCAAATCTAGTTCTATGATTAAAAACAATCCTATGATTCTAATCATAGGATTGTTCTGTCAGACATTGCTCAGCACAGCTGATCTATACGTTGAAGTGTCAAGTACCGGCGACAACACTGATGATATTTTTAAGAAAGCAACAAGTACGATAATAGGCAGAAAGAGATTAATTTTTTTTAAGCCGAAACGAGGCCATTGATTTCTATAAGAATCAAAACCTGAGCAGCACTAGCATTACGGACGAAATTCGATAGACCAGAAAATACAAAGTCAAAAGTTGATGTAGGGACGTCTATACTTGGAAAAATGACAAACTGGATTGTGCTGGCCTTAATACCGAAAGCCTTTACAACCAAAACCTTTAGTATAAAGTTCTTGTATAAAACCTTTAGTATAAAGTAAATGGTCTTTTAGATTTTAACTTTAGGAAAAAATATTATTGATGACATAGAAGACAACGACAAGGTAGTGTTCGGTGGGGGGTTTCAGCGCAGCTACCATTGATTAGAGGAAGGGATGAAGTTGGCTTAGGGAAGCGTTCTGAGTAATAGGAATTTTCAATTAACTAATTGTGGAGATAAGCTCACCTTCTCCGAAGGAGACAGCAGGTTATTATAGATGTAACAATTTGTTCAGCCTAATTAGTGAAAAAAAATTAGAGATCGTAAATGCACTGGAGAGCCATCACAGGAACCTAATGTATGGGGTTGAGGTGGGACAGCTAGCGAGCCCGAAAGGTTGCAAGAACACGAAGACTTTAGCACACACAATGATCAATAGACGAAAGCCTAAATACTGTTGAATAAGAAGACTCGTAATAACCAGGAAACATCTTATAGTAGAATCTATACTAGGGCTAGAAAAAGGGCTTTAACGGAGAAATTCAGTAAACTTTATAAAGTAAAATCACAGCTCGCCTGCGCAGGGAATTCAAATAGAGCGAAGAGGAAAGAGGACAAGAGCTTATCAAGAAATTCAAAGGCAGTCTACGCTACAAGATAGTCTGAATTAACGAGGTATGGTGCGACCCAGATTCCCAAAGCCCTTATAAGGTAAATAGTCGAAACCGTTTAACATGGTTTGTCGCCGAGGACTCGCTAGACGTTTTTGAACTACGCGCGCGATGGTTATAATACTAATAAGTATATTATAACACTTACTCGATTTAAGGGAAGAGTTAATGCTTGTTATCTATATATTATTGCTAACAGGGTGACGGAAACGGGCACCATAACGCCTCTTTGTGTCTAAAAAAGGTGAGCATGATACACAAAGAGCTATTATCCTCACAGGGACTGCCATGGGTGCTCGATGCAGAAGTATAAAAAAGAATGTTATCATCTATTAGATAGCACAATGGAAAACCAGTTGGTGGTAGGTTTGTTATAGTGTTTCCGACACATCCAGGAGGAAGCGCATGAAAACCGGTTGAAATCTAGGAAAATACTGAGTTGACCCAAAATGTCGTGGAGGTGCGCAAGAGAATAGCAATGAAAAAACAGTAAAACGAAATACGCTATGAAGCATTTGCCATACAGTTAACTGAAAACCTTGAGCAGTGGCCACTCAGTTTCTGCGAGAAGGTCGCGTAATAAACGAGTACACACAAGGTAGCTGGTATTTATAGCAAAGCTTGACATCCTGTTAGACTACCGAATTCACATAGGACATGTTACCTCCTAAGCATAATTAATAAGATATCTTATTCATTATGCTTAGTTTTTATCGTACAATAACTGACCAGAGAAATTGAGAAAAAGAAGCGTTTTCGAGGAAGTAGTTTAGCTTTAAAAAGGGTTAACTGACTTTATCACACATAGAATTGGTCCTGAAGTACACCTAGAGGGAATAGTAAAAATGATGAAGACTAAGAGTCTTTGCCTATCCTTTCGAAAGGAAGGCATGTTTTCAACTCAATGAATTTATACGTGATGTCGGATACATTGGAAGCAAAGGGGATAGCCCTATATATTTAACGTATAATTACTGACTACCAAAGTGATCGAAATATACAAGCGGAAAGTAGCACTGAGTACGAAATAAAGGCGGCAGTGCTATAGGCCTCAATCTAGAAGCGCGTAGCATGAACCTTCGCTTACGCGGTAGTGCTCAGTCTCCTTATGCCGGAAGCAATAAACACAATGACCTATAGGGTCAAATAGTTATTGATTGTTTCTACTGACTGAGACGAAACTAAAGAACAGAGTAAACAGAGCTCTGGGTTGCGGGGTCGGTTACAAGAGCAAAGCTTAAACAAGCATTTGAGAAAATAGAAGTTTAGTTCATCTTAATGGCAAAAAGAGGTGCGAAAACCTTAACATGAAGGGGCATATAATACACAGGAAAGGTCGTTCGGGTGCCTGGGAATGAAGTTCGATCAAGGTCTAACTGGTGCGTATACGGGAAGCAAAAGGCGTGCCTTGGCCGCACAAAGTTCCAGTAAGCTGATGCGGAAAATTAGGGGACATGGTTAGAGAAGGAGGAAGCTACTTGATAGCCCTAGACAAAAATTATGAAATTGAAGAGAAATGAATTCCATTCAAGGAAAATAGAGCATGTATTCGCTTTCCGTATAAATAGAGCAGTTTGAACCACCTTAAACTTTTAGATATGATCGTCAGGACAGCGGTATTACGAGATCAGAAAGGACGAAGGAAAAGTAGATAAAAAGCAGACGTTTAGCCGAAATAAGGCTATTGAAAACACTTTCGAAAAATTACAGGTGGGAAAGCACAATAATAAAAGTCTCTACCTGGATTAGGACATTGATCCTACAAATAAAAATATAGAACTGGGAAGAGCTTTAAAGAAGCAACTAATCACCTTATCAGTTACGGAAGATGTCATACATGTATTCTTAGAACAGAGAAAACGCCAAGTGACAATCTGCAGCGTAAGCGTTTACGTTAATGTGTCTTATACATTAAAGAACTACATACTATTCGAGGAGAAAACAGCAGAAGCTGAATGAAAAGCAAGGCACCCATCCAGGGCTGATGTCATGGTGAACTGAACTTAGGACTAAAAGAACCACAAAAAGAACCAAATGAAAGTTCGTGAGTTGAATAAAAAAGGTTCTTCGTGGAGTCGAAGCAGTATTAAAAACGAGTCTCGAGGTAGGATTAGAGACAAAGAAACGTATGTACTTAGTGCGTACTGGTGCAGCTAGAAAAGTTGAGTAAAGACTCAGACTATCAAGGCAAATGCCTGCTGTAACACCTGATACCCATAAACGATATTCATACATTAACCCTTTAAAAGGAGGTTGCAATTAGAAAGAAGTTTAAGGCTTTAGTCAGGCTAACGTTCATCACAATAAGAGCATGCATTGGTTGAATGAACGTCGTTGGTATGTCACACTCACTGGTATGTCACAGTGAAAAATGTCACACTCACTGGTATGTCACAGTGAAAATCAACTTACGTTTGCACACATACATGTACATATAGTTGTCTGAGAAAACTCGAAAACGGCTTTAACGATCTTGACCATTTTTTGACGGTAGGAGTGCTTAATGAGAAACCTGTCATTAAAGATTCGTCTCCAAGAAATCGTCACTTGTTTGTTACATATTTTGTTTATCTTGCGGATGAGTAAGCAGGTACCGAGTTGAAAATGCCATTTGATGACTCAAACAACTCTGAATTTTTTCAGTTGCTTCGCGTTCGGGACTTCTATAAAGGCGTCACAGCATCTTTACATGTGCCAACTGTCGAGTGTCCCTGCATGCTGAGCCTAAAATTAAGAAAATCGCACGGAAATATACCCCAAGCAAGAAATAAATAACGCCTATAACGGGATCGCAAACCTCAAATATAGCTAAACTTAAAAAAAGCAATGACTCTGACACTGCAGGGAAGAATGACAGAATGAACTGCTTCCAGAACAATATTGCATGAAAAAAATGTCTAGCAGCTTTTAGAATACCAGGGAAATCACAAGCAAAAGACCCCTATAAGGAACTTTTATAATCACTACCGATTCTTAGTAGACAAGTTAAGTAGCTTCAGTTCCGTCTAGCTTTCAACCAAGAAAATTGACAAGCGTTCATAAATTTGAACATCAGGTTTCCTTACTGCAAATTTCGGGTCATCAAATTGCTTTGGATAAAATGTTTCCCTATTATCGAAAACCAAGGTGTGCAATTAGAAAACCTCTGGTACGTTATTTTATTAGTGGAGACTCTTTTCTGAGGAAAAATCTTTGGAACGCTGACTCAAGTGCGAACTCTTTAGTTTTAGCGTAACATATTTTCGACTTGGATAAATAATAGGCTGGAACAAAAGGTGTTACACAAAGGCGCATCGCTTATATCAAAGGGCTGGTCGAAGTTGCGAAGGATATAATCATCTTGGTCAAAACGAGCACACTATTGCATAGTTGGCGACCTAATGATGCCTGTACTAATCAATATAATAAGGCAAGAGTTAGTTTGACGAAATGTATTGCGGTATTTGTCCTTCGTCAAAGCCGGACCTTTGCAATACCATATTGCTTTAATAAGCAGTGGGGGGAACTATTATTCTCAAGACATAGGAGACGTATATTATCTAAGCCAATTCTGTTTAGTTGAGGCAATTTCATCCGGCTTGAAAGATATTCGTATATTTAACGGGGCGCACGTCAACAGGTGGCGGATACCGTTCTCAATCGTTAAGACATTAAATAAAATTTAGTTACCGTATCGGTTCTTCCTTCGCAATTCATTTGTCATCGTTGACAACCCAATCACTTCAGGAAACAAGGCCCATGTCCTCAATATACAGTATTATGCTATATGTATAATAGTATTTATATATATTTAATATATATATTTTTTTAGCTGGTCAAAATGACGAACGGAGCTATGACAAATGGAGAACTAGGGGCCTTTAATTTGTTTTCTTCTGATGGTTTGGACGAAAGCGCCAGCTATTTCGAGCAAATTCTTACAATTTAAGCGAAATACGTTTTCGCACCTTGTCGGAAAGTACCCGACAATGCCTTAAAGAATTGTAACAAGTTATGGATTTTAGATTTACTACGGCTTAATCTTTACAGTAGTGCTTTAAAACAGAGCCCTAATAATAAAAAAATGAAGTAGCGCATAGCCAAAATCTAGACGCTTTTGACAGTCGCTTAACCGCTAAGTAATCATTTACCATGAATTTATATCACACGATCCTAATATTACTGATGTACGTTTCGAAGATATCGCGTACTCTGGCTGTCAGAAAAGCCCAGAAGTATTTAAGGCTTATTTTTGGTTTTTTCATTGGGACAACGCGCAAAATCCACTACTTGTTCTTTATGTCAGAGTTTTTGAAGGAAAACTCAATGCCCGCTTACTCCAAATTATTCTTTTGGCATGCCCAATTCCTATAGCGTTTTTGCCTAACAATTTACGAAAGCTTTAGTAGGAAAATTATTTGAAGTACTTACTAAAATAGAACAAAAAACGTTGCATTTTGGAATACTGTGATACTTATTTAAATTTAAAAATACTGTGACAGTCAACGCCTATCTTACTCCAATCGTTTGTCACACGGGAAGAGCCAGCAAGAGATTATGACATTTCAATCCTACCAGGTTCATACCATAATCTTCCTGCTGTAAAAGATGTTACTTGAACTTTGGGCTTTTCTTAGGCCTTGCTGTAGAAGAAAATTCGCAGTTCTGGTCATGCGTAAAAGACCACGATCGGTATATGACATAGATTTTTGTCAACAAACGTAATCATATAGTTATACCATCCGTTGTAGGTCGCCTAGGTTTTTTTTCACTCGGTATAAAACGTGCACGCAACACTAAACGTAAGACAGAAAATATCTATTAAGCCATTTTGATTGTTCTAAGTTTCCGTTCCTGGTAAAGCAGGTAAACCGTTTTTAATTTGTGGCTACATCCTTACGTAAGATGCTTTCGCTTTGTGCTTTCGTTACGTGCTAGAGGCTAAATATGTAATGTGTTTCATCGGCAGTTGGGTGGTCGTTACCTCAAGGGTAAGAAAAAGTTGTGCCGATTTTCGGTTCACTTTGCAACTACAAATAGAAATTGAATAAACCCAATAAAAACGGATAACCAAGATTCTACTGTAGATGCTTGAGGTCTAACTTCTTTCTCAACACTTACAAATAATGCTTCATAGATAAAATTTAAAACAAAGTTTTTCTTACACAATATATCTCGGCACATGGGCTGAGGTAATCGGCTGTAAAATCACCACCAGTTAAAACCGATTGCAATTTATCCCTCTAATTGTACCATGTAAACAAACAATTTTCATATTTGTAACCCAAACTACCTTAACATTGCATAGCTGAAACGATTATAGGTCTCCAATTTTACTCAAAACTTACAAAGAACATGCAATAACAGCATGAAGCTGCTGGCTGGCGTATTTGCTTTCCACGAAACCCTCGTTAACAAGCGTTTCCAACAAATCGCAGCACGACTGTGATAGACTCAGAGATGAAGACACGGTCGAAGACAAAATTTTGTCCAGGACGGGCAAACGCTGAACAGGACAACGGTCCAGAAAACGGTCGACGTGGTACATGAAAAGCAAAATTATTTATAAAACTGATATCAATTAAAAAAATGATAGGTAAACGATATGCGCACTATATGCAGGGTCGTTCCGAAAGTAACTGTTTTGAAAAGTGATAGGTGTCATGTGTTTTTACAATGCAACTATGAGGCATCGAGACACTATTTCATAGCCAAACGCAGAAATACGCGCCAAATCTTCCTGCACCCGTCTATTAATTTGAAACTCAACGGGCTTAATAAATGTATAACAAGATTACTTAACATAACTTGCAAATCGCGATTATGGAAAAACCATTGCTTTAACTGGAAAGGCGCGAAAACATAAGATACGATCTTAAACCCTTATACTACACCTTCTTTATATATATATATATATACATATATATAGTATTTTTCCGGCATCTGGGCAATACTCTTTTGTTAAGCTAGTTTACATGGTAACCTTATTGTAGGTGCTAAAAATAGTGAACATTAGCCATGAATTGCGCTTCGCGATAACTAGAGATTAATAGCATTTGTTGCCGTGCTGCGTCCGTGCAGCATCCGCATGTCCTTCGTGCGGCTACGCTCTTCGAAATGGCCAATAGTTTTGCGATCTTATAGTAACGCCTTCGTGCTGGCTATTTAGCCTAATCGATAGACATCGTGACCATAGTCCCCAAGGGTTCTAAAGGTCTTGCATTTCCGGACCTGGCGCTTTCGTATAGTATATGGCCGCTTGTTTTTCGTACGTGGCTTGTCCGGTCTTCCTCGTCGGTCAAGCCTCTTTCTGACAGCATAAGTTTTATGGCCGAATCCCTTTTCGACTCCTTGGTTCAGCGCTGGTGATCCTGTCAAGCAGAACTTGACACCGCTACCAGTATTGACGGTGGTCTCGAAAGCGGCCTCCTATATTTTTTATTTTCTCAGTGACCCAATAATTCAGAAATACAAAGTGCGATTTCAATCCATCATTTTTATTTTATATTAGTGTCTTTTTCTAAGATCTCGTGTTACTATCTTATACATATAAAATGCATACTTAGTCAGTTTTTCCATTTATTTCGAAAATGGTGAGATTTAAAAAAGCGGGAACGTAATTTCGGCAAGCTTGCCTTAACGAATATACAGAGTCTGCTAGGTGTTCGTGCTTTCTCGGCATGAACCCCTTTCGGCGTCTGAAATCTATCCTAATCGCAAGATTTAATTCTAATAAAAGAACAACCTTCAGTTTTTTTTTAAGTAATTCGGGTTTCTTTGGCTACACTGGCCAGCAATTGACAGTTATTTCGAAATGTATTTATTCTGCAATCTTCATTATAGGTCAATGTTTTTAACGTTCTACTTCTAATGCTAACAACTATGATGAAACAATGTATGCCAAATGTGTGTTTTTCATATTATGCGTGTTTTTAAACATGGTTTGCCGTTATTGTGACTGAATTTTATAGCCTCGCCTAAGCAGATGATTGCATGACTAGGAAAGGTTCCGTGCAACACTACTGTTGTTTCACGCGACGTATGGCAGTGGGAACCGTATCGTTAAGATCATTTGGTTTTGAGATTCATGCGATGCATTTTACAAACAAAAAACTAGGTCGTCTTGCCGCGCATTAGTAACTGTTTGTATATATTTGGCAACGTCTTTAATGAAGTGTTATATATAGCTTTTATGTATGACTAATTAATATGTCCTCAGCCCAAAATTTACACTAAATAATTTAGGATGTATTTTCTTTTCATAAAGCATAACTAAGCTCTCGCTATACAAATTGCAATGCTCTTGACTGTTTACGAAGCCATCAATATGAAAATGAGCTTTGTCGTCGAATACAACGTTGTTGAAAAACCATTTTGTTGTTCAACTGCCCAATAGATGAACTTTCTTTGTGCGTTATGCGTGATTCGTAGGCTTCGGCTACTAAGTCAGCTAAATTTCGCATGTTGCACCTTTGAACACTATACCAAGTATATGTTGTCAAATTACAACCTAGTGTTTTCTTCTGAATTACCTGAACACGTGTCAATGGTTTGACATCAACCATCGACACAGTCTCTATTAAATATTTCGATTATTCTCTTCGAAACTGATTCACTTAAAACACTTTTTATTATCGAAAATTTCATACAGTTTACAAATCGGCGCAGTAAAACATTTTGAAAATAATCTTTGATCACAATAATGCATTGTTGTGTCGAGTAACTATTGATTTCCAATAATGGCGAACAATCTACAATCTAAAAGCAATTCAATAGAAATAACTTCAAATTCAAATCGTTTACTCTTGTTGGGACGTCCAGTAGTACAACCATATAACTTAAATTAAGAAAGAAATAACAAATAGAACAGTCATGTCGTACAGCTCAAACACGTAGACGTTCACACTATTGAATGTGCGCATAGGGCTTCTACAGTGAATACATTTCGAGATAACTATAGCCAGGCACTGGGCAAATACTAAAAACAAGTTCCAATTAATCACCGAATATTCACACAACTGAACAGATGTGACGGCGATTTTTTTTCATGAAGACTTCTGTCTAATAGGACAACTTTTAGACCCCTTCTTATAAAAATACTTTGTATGCGCCTTGATTTCACTCATTAATGCTAAATTTTACCGATCGCGTTTGGCTTAAAGTTTGAGCATTAACGATTAACTGGCCGTCTAAGGAATATGTAATCATAGCCCGCCGAAACCGAGAGTAAATGTATGATAGCAATACATACTTTTGCAGCAGTTTCAATATATGACATCTAAATCCGAACTTTCTTTATCAGTTGTTTCTGATACTACTTCACAAAAACATATGTCCCATCGATTTTTTTTTTGTCATTTTTCACTCTCATTGTCATTCAAAAATTGTCATTTTTGACGATCATGTTCATTCAAGTTCGGTAAGTTTACCGTAAGTAAGGTTACATATTCAATTAAGAACTTAAACCACTCACTAAGAACTTTTCATTTCTTCTTTAATATGTGAATGACTTAGTGGCAACTGCACATAAAGAGATGGTAAGTGTAAGCTTCGTAAAGTGTAGCGCAAATAGGCTATGTACCAAAAATTCCCATGGAATTAAAGTTTGGCTGAAAACAGATAAAAAGTCTTAAAAATGCAAAAGCTCGAAATGGTCAATAAAGGAAAAAGTAAATACAAAGGAAGCGCGCCATTCTCAAAAGACGATTTGTTAAAGACAAAGTTAAACAACCCACTTAATATTTTTCACTTTAAAACGGCCGCTAATTTTTGTACTAAACAACCAAGTCTTTTTAAAATTTTTACTAGGCTTTTGCACCATTTAAACCTGAACTTTATTGAGGATCTTCCAATTTTGCTCCTAGATATTTTCTGTTTCTTAGAAGCTGCATTAACAATGGCAATAACGCCAATTGTTAATTTGGGGCATAAAAAGAAAATTATAATTTTGGTGGAGGTCTGTCCTGCGGAGGGACATTGAGTGATTAAATTGATTACTTCGAACTCAAATTTCGAAAAATGATACACTGTTTTCGTCGTGAATTTGCCGTTTTGCTTTTCCTCTTTTCTGGTATCAAAATTAACGAACGAACGAACGCATGCCCGCTACAACGAACAGCCCACCAAAGTTTGCTCGAATTTCAGTGCTCCACCTCATTATGTATGTACATGGCCAGACAACGCCTTCATATAAAATTTATATATGTTTCTTTTCACATACGAATATACATCATGCCGGTCATCTTTATGCAATAAAACGCCTGTTTACTTTAACTACAACCTCAATTCGAGGGCTGTATTATTTCTTTTTTTATTCCTTTTTTAATGCCCTATAAATAGTAATTTAATGGACTTTAATCTGGACCCTACGGCACGACATGTGCTCATTATTATCATATTCTCAAACTGCCAGTCCTGCAGTGACTGGTTAGTACAGATCGGTTCACCATCTTGAATCACCACCAAGAAATGTATAGCTTTCCCTTAGACATCAGTATTTATAAAATATGCAAATCTTTTAGAGTAAGAAACTGTTTTTCCTGAATAATGTATGCTGATATGATGTACCTTTGACTGAACACCACACTCCGGCCGGAAAATTGTTTCTATTTTACATTACAGGCGCGTCTTCCGAATCGTGAGCAAACCAGCAATAGTTTGTGCGGTTAATCTTCGCATCGATGACCAAAATTTTCTCACTATAGAAAATCCGAAAACATCTTGCTGCTTTACTCTTGAAAGATTTGTGACATACGATTTGTAGCTGATGTCTTCATGAACAATCAGTAACATAATATATTCGCATTAAATTTCTTTGTTGACAACCTCAAAAACAGAAAGATAATCAAAAGTGCGCTTTTGGACGAGGTTGATAAAGTCTAAGGGCGGCGCTAAGTTTAAGGCCTGTCATGAATTTTCCGTTACATTCTGCTCCTATTTTTTTGCCACTACGTCTTCATCACTTTCGAAACACTGCTCGATTAGGATAACCTTAGTAATATGTAATTTCGGCGCGGGGCTAGTTCCACATGAACAGGATAAATATAGCAAGTTTTGTTACACTTTGTGTTTGAAAATGTATGTTGTGTTCTATCCTTTACAGAATTACGCATGGCAATGCACAAATGCGGTGTCCTAATGGCGAAGTATTTGTCAAGCCATCTAGGAACAGATTTACAGATCTTTCATAAAAGCTATATATTTAAATAATAGTGTTTATCAGCTTTCCTTTTTTGTAATATTTGAATAGCAAGTATTTTATCATTTTCTATTTAGTATCGCTTTGGTATTACACAATCATTCTCACATAGTTCTTGTAATTTCCGTGTGATGATAATTCAACTTGCTTATGCGAGTTTTGATATGTACAAACGTCACAAGGTAATGATAATAAAGACAGATAATACTTTCTGGAAATCTGAACCTAGAGTGTTTCCGCTTTTATTTGCCGGATTGTTTTGTAGAAAGTTGGCACTAAATAATATTAAAGTAAACGGATTCAACAAATGTGATATAAACATTTGGAAGAACATTTGGATACACGAGTAATTATAAGATGTCGGTAAAAATCAAAATAAAATTCAAAAAGTTTTCACATTAAAAGTAAGGTTTGTAAGCTTAGACCAGCCATACAAGTGTACAGGCTATACATATTTGGTCTAATCATTCACATTTATGTAAAAAAGGTATTCACGTTATGTAAGTTGGTTCTTACCGGTTGTGTAGTTGCATTATATTTCTTTCCTTGTAGCAAACATATAATTTGCGATCGAATCCTTTCCATGTACTGCAAACACACAAAAAATCACGTTACACTCAATAAAAAACCGCATGTATGTCTACATTATATAAACTAAACACTGAAAAATCAATTCTTGCCAAGTTCTTGCTGAAAGCCGCGTAGGTTTACCGGTTTGTTACTTAGGCAGATTCGATTGTGGGCGAAAGACAGTTTGTTTCGGTTAGAAACCTTAGAGTGACACTGTCCCCAACTAATAAGTTTTCGGCATTATAAGACTAGTTTAATTTTTTATTTGTTGGACGCTCTGCTATTGTTCTGGAGTATTTTAGTAAAATCTCTTCGAAAGGCTTACATTCTGGATTCGCTTAATATGGGATTAATAGATGCTGTTTGAGGCAAATAATGATATAGTCAGTAGAACTAACTCAGCATATTTTTGCCCTTCAATAATTAGCAACATTTTATTATATTTTAACGTACATAAATATATTGATCCACATTTGTAATAAAATGAATACCTTAAGAAGATAATTTGTATATAAGCTGGTTTTTATGGTTGACTGGTTTTTATAAGTGAGAAATTTAATGAGAAGTTGCCCCACTCTTGACGGTTTATTCTACTAATCATCAAAGGAAAGTAAGCAAGTTATATTTTCAGATATTTCAGTATATTTCAGATATTTTAATTGGCGTTCACCCATCAATTGATTTTCAGTGATTACAAAATGAAAGACATGTACTAGGAGCACCAAATTGACCTAATTTTTCCAACAGCTAGTGCTTATTATTTATATTTTACGTCACATATAACTTTTTATTGAAAACTGATGTAGTATTTTTTTTGTTGTTGGCGGAATCCAATTTTCCAAATCCTTTTTCGACCAGAAGCTGGCCGCTTAGTCCGCCGCATCAACAACTTTTTTGTATTAAATTGGCGGTTCTTCAGATATTTAATTCACGTTTACTTTTCATTTATTTTTTTACTTTAGAGGACCACTCGAAAGCACTATTACTCTCCCATATAAATCAACTTTCAATCAATTTTGTTACATGGCAAACCAATTTTTTTGTCGATTTCAGGTTTTTAATAGATGTGTTGGGTAAATAAAGTACGTTTGGCTTCATTTTATTTCGTCCTTTGCCCCGGTCAAAAAAGTTACTGCGGCACTGTACTGACGCGTAAAACGAGAACCCCGTCAGACCAAAGACTACTAAGAGAGGTTTGCGAAATTCAAAGATGGCACCTTGAACCTCGTGGATGCACTTCATTTCCGTGCGATATCTAAAGCCAATGAAATCCCAAAAGATAAGCTATGAACACTGAACTGTCATCAGGTATTTTGAATATATATAATTTTACAAAAATAGTAACATAGATACCTCACAAATTTTGTAAAAAAACATAAGGATATGCAGCTTTGCTTCTTGCAGAATCTTAGCCTAGCAGAGAACAACACTCACGATGATAGATTCCTACGCCTGGTTGTTATAGACGTTGAGCAAGGGTATCTTGATGGAACAGGGAAAGAAACAAGTAGCTACAGGATGAACAGTTAAAGGCAACGCTAAACCTATTCTCCTTTTAAAGAAGGTCCCGATCTGTGCTTGGTGAAATTCGAAGGTTTTGTACACCGGCAAAGTACATCTATTTATTTTTTTATTCTTTAGGCTATCAAGTTGTGAGAGAAAAAAGTGAGATTATGAAAAACGGATCGATCGATAAGCTGCGGACTTCAATAGAGATATCTCATTTAAAAGCATATTCAGTAGTATTCTACCAAGCGCTTAATGCTTTTAAAACTTCATAACTACCTTACTGTATTAAGAGAAAATCGTTGCTTCCCTTCCCTTACGGTCTCTTCCAAATTTAATTGGGATATACTAATAAAATTAATTTGTTGAAGATGAGCAATCAACAAAGACATTGCGCAAAACAAACTTAGTTATCTATAAAACTTCTTACAAGCCACGTCGTGTTATAAGCATTTTTAGTGAGCTAAATATAGCATTTTTAGTAAGCTAAATCTAGAAGCAAAACACTAGTTTGAATCCCTCATGACTTTAATTGTGAAGGTCCTAAAACAAAGTGAAGTATTTTTTTATGTCGTAAGACTTTGAAAAGCTAGTTACGTTCTACTGCTGAAAAATAACTAAAATAAGGAACAAACCTTCTGCTGGATTGGTGGTGATGAAATAGTTTCTAAAAGGTCCATGATTAATCCAACAAGTTTCTACGATACATCTGCAACACATTAATGAAATATAGTACTCAACCTAAAATGCTCAAGTACAACAGAAATAGTGGAACCTGTATTTGGTCGCCGAAGCTCTTATAAGTCATAGAAGGCTCGGTGCAGAATTAATCAAAATACCGCGTTCAAATTCATTACATGCGAACATATTTGCTGTATCATAGTATTTTGAATAGAACAACGACTATAATATCAAACAATACCGTGGTTTTACTTAAAATAAAATCTTCGAGTTCCGCCATTGTAAGAATATTATTTTTACGTAAAAGCTTCTCTAGCTCACGCAAGCAAATTGGAATCATACATGTTTATGTTTATTAACTACTTACAAAGCACTAATTCGTTTTTCATAAACGGTACTGATATGTACTTGCTAAGCATACTTAACTTGTTACCAGTTATGAAGGTTAAATCGCATGTTCTCCCACTTTGCCGATTCCCATGCTCTCGGCTATTATGGAAACCATAGTATATGGACTTTACAGTAGGTCGATTGGTATAGACAATCGTTTATTTTTTTTTATCTCGGAAACTGATTTCTGCAGCTTTTAACATTTACATATATTACGAGAGCTTTTGCTTTGTGGCCTATTTACTGTGAGCCGCATTAAATTTAAATTTGTGTTAAAAAAATGTATTAAAAAAATCATTACTAATGTATATATTCAATACGTTTATAATTCTTAGTTCTACTCAGACTACTTTATTACAATTATATTGAGTACTTATAAAATAATTGTACTCGTATGAACTTTTTCTTATACAGAATATATATATGACATATTTATGCAGACTGAGCAGTTGCTTCTCAATATTATTATAGCAAAGATCGGCAAAGAGCAATCAAGGTTTCTGTCTCGATACGGACCATTAGTATTTTTTTGCAAGACTCAAGGTAACAGGTGCAGACAAAAATCAACTGGTGGGTTCCTATCTAATGTTCGTTGTATGTTTCATTGTTGGTTTTCAATTTATGAGCACTTCGAGGTACTTGCTGCGTTTTCTTTCTCCGATGCTTGGTGGCCATGCTCTTTAAGGATTCATTTGTGACCTGCTGGAACGAATTTGCTACCTCCTATCTAATACTCCAATACCAAGATTACACACTCTATCGTTCTGATGTGTCGTTGTCCTCTACAAACCTTTCCCGTATATACTTATATGTTTTTATGACTTAAAAATAAATAAAACTACGATTTGTTGACATGCATTGTTTACAGTGCACGAATTTCAGCCCGGAGATATCAAAGGTACCGCTGTTGTTCATAGGCCCTTGCAGTGTGTACAAGCAGAGAATATTCAAATTCTTTATTTATTCGTTATATCATTGTTCGTTGCAGAATCGCCGGATTAGAAACTTGGTAACGAAAGTCCTTTGCTTGGATTATATCGAGACATGCCGGTTTTATCATTGTGCAATAACAGCGCATTTGTTTACTAAACATATGGACACGTGGTGGGCTAGATTACAAACATAACATAGACACATTTTGTTTCGTGCTATAAGTCAACCCAGGGCGTGAAAACTCGCTTCTTTGATGACTCTGGTTTATTTAAACGAATATCTCACTTGGCCGACAGCGACTTGTGGAGCAGCAAAAGAATAAGTATATATGCCAAGATTCGTTTCTACATACACGAAAATTTACAGCTATTGTTATTATAACAAGATGAATCCAGATAGCCGATGCCAACAACGATTAGGCGGGCTCGGAAGCACCTATGTTTCCAACAGTGGTCTTGGTTTGTCTGTAATATCACATATTTTAGGAAAAACATGCACTAATTTGTAAACCACATATTTCAGATCTAACTTTCAAGACATATTCTAATTGAGAAATAGCAAACTTCCTAACTGTCAAATGCCTCGCAAAATTTTTAGAGCTCTTTTAGTTTCTGCTAGCTCACAAATCACTTAAATCTTTACAGCCAAAGTTTTAAGTGTCTATTTACATGAATGGCTGTTAAGCGATACATACTTTTGCACCAAACAACGGCTGCAATAGCAGCTCGTGTTTTTTAGCTAACCAGCAGCCTACTGATTTGTATATCGTGGCTACTAAATTATGGTAATAACACTGAATCTACGATTTTAGAAATTTTAGCCATGCTGTGGCAGTGAACCTGATCCCTTATTAAATATTTTTTCATCACCAACACTTTATCTGGTGGTTTCTGTCCAAGAGCCTCTTTTAGTACAGAAGTCGTAAAGTCCTCCGAGCAATATCCCTATGGGTTGCACAATTGTCTTATTTTTCACTGACTGTCGAAATCTTAACTAATATCTGATTGAAAAATATTTTCTTTAGGCGGCACTCCGCGTAAAGTGCTTCACAACACTCAACTCCCGAGCCGTTTCGGAGACTACTATGAACCCTGTGTGGTGTGCCTTTACGTACGTATGGCAATACAATTTTTTTCATTAATTATTCTTTCCACAAACTGCAAATATACATAATATACATTGCAATACACACTGAAACATACACAAAAACAGTTTGTACACAAAAGTGGGAGTTTGACATGACTAGGGAGAAAAACTAAATATTGTTGTATCAAGTATTTGCAATGCATGTCCTAAAAAAAAAAGATGGGAAAAAAAGAAAGCGATTTGGCTTGCGACGTCTGCTTAACTGTCTGAAGTTTATATGACTTCAATACTGAATAAGCTAATCGGAATGTGATACGCGTTTCTGTCTAATAATAACTCATACTGTTTTTCGGCATCTATTCCTGCCAATTTTTATTCAAAGCGATTCCTGACACAATCACTAGTTTCGTTATTCATCACAGAGTTCGGTTACTTATAGTCTACAGCACATCACATTAGCCACCTGATAAAACTACTCCAAAAACAAAGGAAAGAACAAAAAAACTACAGAAAAGTGCTGAAAAAGAAGAGAATGAGGATAGCGCCCAAAAAGGTTGCCAAGGAGAGGCTATTGGCTAAGAAGCACAGCAGCCGAAAGGGACGATTTCCTCTAATTGTAAACCTATGCTAGCTAATTCGGCTATCTACAGCTTAACAATTCTGTGTGTCCCTGATAGCCAGGAAGAAATAAAAAAAACAGCCGAAGATACCAATAAGATAACAAACGCGCTATTTCATAAAGGAAACGTAAAAGAGTATTGAGAAGAAGGAATAACCGATAGAAGCAGTTATCAGTGGCAGAACAAGCGGCCACGTTCTATAGTGTTGCACAAAACTTGCTGGAAAGTAGACCTATCACTGGATATGAAGGAAGAAGATGACATCACCTAATGAGAGTGCCATACTTTTTTAAGGAGATTGTGGGCGCATGCGTTATGCAGACTTTAATGTTAAGGCATATGTCAGATACTGTTTGACTTTCATCCACCAAATCCTGGACCCTGCATGCTTGGGCCTTGTGCTAATATTGATTCAAATATTACTTTAAACAAGAATACGTCTAGTTAGGCAGAAGTCCATGGGAAAGGTTTGTAAGAGGGTGGAAGTGGCTCATTGGAGAATGTTAGAAAAAAATACGATGTAGGTAATTTTTGTTAATCAAAAATGCATAGTGGATGATAGAACGAACAAAAGTACCAAGCATAATCCGACTTAAGAGCTTCGCCCTTTTCCCGTGGGTAAAGTGGCCATAGTCATAGCTAGAAATTACGTTTTTGTGAAATGGGCTTATTTAAACGCCAACCGAGCCCGTCAGGCTACTGTTTATCACGAAAGCTACATGAAGGCTCCTATCGTTCGTTTCCTAGGAGGCAAATTAGCTCCAAGAAGCAGGGATGATCACCTGGGAAACTGCTATACTCTTTAATCTGCTAGCTGCCGAGCGTTTATATGAAAATAAATGGCAGAAGGAACGACCAGACCAAGGGGAAAGTAAAGGTAAACGACGAAAGTACGAGGCATGGCCGAAGGACAAGCATGTTGTACAGACATGCAACAAATCCTTGAGGAAGTTATTCACCCGGGCAATCTAGATATCCATATAAATAAATATATACTAAGGCCAAAAACGGAGACCTCGCGTTGTACTTTAATTTGAAAAATCGGAGCAAAAGGTAACCTAGGCGGACAGGTCTGAGCGGACCTACTGCTCTCAATGAAGGCCAAACTCCTAGATAAGGACACCACGACAGACAAGCTCTGCGACGGGTGCTACTCGCTATAGAAATAAAATTGTACGAATAACTTAACCCACCTACCGAGCTTATGATGTGTAGTGTCACTTAAACCGTCTGATGGTGGGCCATTAATTCGGATTTACTACGATAGAGATCTGAAGGTGAACACTGCTATAGATGTTTGACAGTTAGGCAGAACGCATAAAACTGCAACACAAAAAAAGAATGCTACATCTGCAATGTCGAAGGCCACATCGCCACCACGATGGCTTGTCTAACGACAAGTTGAAGCCAAAGCGTCAAATGTAAAGAAGGAGCCTATGAACGGTACTAGGGCATTTCAAGTAAGAGTAACAACGGCACAGAAGAAAATCGATTTGGAACTGATCGTTAAATCAAACAATGCAAAAATTTCACAAGAGGATTAGTTGACAAATGTGAGCTAGGATGTAGATATTTGTTACGACCGTAGAGAGGTTGTAAAAGGGGCTGGAAGGGGAAAGCGGTTATGTTTGTAATTAAATGGCAGTGGTACGCATGTAGTTCTTTCATATTGCCTTACGCCAACCGTGAAAATCTTATTAAATTGCTAGGCGCCCCAGGCAAAAGTTTCGATAAAAACAGTAACGTGATGATCGTCATTTTAGCGCAGCCGGCATTGGCTGAGGGGCAGCAGCCTCTCGCATACGAAAGCGCTTTTGCTCCAATGCTTGGTTAAAAAAAAACTGCAAATAATCCGTGACATACACAAGTCCATATTTTATGGAAAAGAACAACAGTTTTTAACTTATCAGTACAAGAAGTATGTCATAAAAAGAGCACCCAAAAGAACAAAGCTAATAAAGGTCTCGATATTAATCCTAAGAAGCCGAAAGACGAGGTGCTAAAAGATGCGCTTAAAACTAGTTGTGATATTCTTCAGAAAATGCCCGAATAGGGGAAGGATATTGAGCGCTATCTGCACTCATTAATAGGTTTGAAGCCTTTATAGTCTTAGGTCTAGGAACAAAAACTGCGATTTACTAAAAGACACTCGTTTGTTAATCCCACAAGTGAATTCTTTGCCACGTTTGCAGCGAAGTCGCGTAAGTGAATATACTTTTGAGGCGATTTGCTATTATCTGTACGCACAAAGAGCGAGTTATTATTATGGTTTCTTAGTATCGGGGTCTGGCTACTATATATGCTCCTGTATCACTGACCTCGTTTGCCGCTTTCAAAATAAATATGTGGTTTACTTTTACACTGCGTTGTTAAGTACAGTGACCTCATATATAGGGGCACAAAAATGTTGGCCATTATTTTTGGTTAGTAGAGCCTGAGCGATTTCCCGAGGCTCTTTCTCTTTCAACGAAGCTTCTTAAACTTCGTCACGCATTACTGGCATTGCACGCATCTATCTGGAAGAAAATAACTCGTTTGACATTTATATGTTTAGTTCTGTTAGGTGTTCATTTTTTTAAAAAGCGAATTTGATAACTGTATTACAATTATCTCTTTTCTCTCAGTATTCGATATTAAAACGAAATTAACAAAATAATTATTTTTGAAAACAAACTGCATCTGAAAGTACAATTTCTACATCGGTCGTTAAAATCTTAATTAAGAATTCGTCATGAGATGGATAAATTGAAATTCTTTTCCATTTTTTTTTATTATGACTAACTTCCCTCAATTATACTGGAGTTATTTCCTTTCTGTTTGCTTCTAGGATTAAAACTAGCGGACCCTCTCTACCATCACCCTTGTAATAACACTGCCGCGACATCAAATGGACTCCCACGTCGGGAGAAGTGGGTCCCTCTATGCTACTGCAAAGGCATTCGTATCCAATAGCTCTACTTACTAAAACTTCACTTCCCCCAGCGTTTATTGGTGTGGGGTACGGGACTGAAAAACCGGAGGTACGCATCACTTTTTTTCCTTAAACACATATTAATAAAGAATAATAAGACGAAGAGACAAGACATTTTATATCAATCCATATTTGCACTGATCGCATTTTGTCAATGATTTTAATTTTTAATATTACTGTTACAAAAGCATCTCCAGTTCTATCTCGTCTCTAACATTTTGTTTACTCAGTAGTATGGCTCAAGCATACCTTCTAGCTCATTCGACAGTTATTTCTTAAGGCCTCGGACTCATACACACACACGTCGCAGTCATCCTTACCCCCGCTTTTCCGATTTAATGTTAATATGGTCTAAAGAAACTGTGACCTTAACATTTGAACCACGAAAAAACTTGTCGTTGCGTATTTCCATAGTTAGTCGCAATGTCTGTAGTAAAAAAAGGTTGGCTGTTTTGGCAATGATGTTTTACGGATTACTACACGCTCCTTACTACCTAAATACGAACTTATTCCGAAAAGCGGTTTTCCAATTTCTTCGTTCTCTCTTGCGAGTTGTAATTCCGAGGATATCAAACCACCAATCGTTATTGCAGTCTCGAGGAGAGCTGTTTTGAAGGTCCTTTCATCTTTCAAGGTAATTTGCTTTTCGGTATGCGTGGATCTACTCTTGTTGATTCTTTTTTCACTCATTGTTGCCATATTGGTACTGCATAAAGAGCAACTGAGTTTGCCATTGAAGTGGATAGTACTCTGTTTGGTCTTGCCTCTTGACCATGAGATTTCGGCATTAATCTGATGTCCTGGTTACTCTCTGTGTTGCGTATTTGATATAAGCAGTTTCAAAAAGCAAGCTGCCGATTTTTATCTTCAAAGTGTTCAGACCTTTTTGGGGCAGAATCGTGTTTTTATAAAGTAATTTTGGAATTGCTAGATTTCTTTTGAACCACTAAACATAATTAGTTCTATTTTCTGAGAGAGTCTTGGTGATGACGTGATGGGTAACATGTTTGTCTGTAGTAAACCAGGAATCCGTACGTGGGCACTCTTTGTTTCGTGCTGGGAGCTACCCGTCTGACGAAATGCGTAACGGTGGTACCGGACGTAAAACTCGAGATATTTAGATACTAGCCCGTGTTTTTTTATCCCACTGCAAACGGTATCGTGTTTTTTATTTTACTTTGCACTTTAGTACTATTTGGCCAAGGCGACTGCCAAAAAGTTGTATGTAAAGGCCATTTTTGAAACATCTCTCATACTATTTTGCTGCAGTATGTAATAATTTCGATGAAAGCAAAAGTCCTAAATTTACTCTCTTGGTATTTCTGAATTCATCTAATATGAAATTCTATCGTATACAAATCGAAATTCTACCTGTAAGATCGCTAGGTTAACGTATTTCATTATCTTTATGAAGGTTATCAATATAAAACATAGTATACGAGATACTGCAATGTATATGCTTCCTTTAACATTTTCTGTTTTGTATGACCTTAGATAAACTGAAAAGCGTCAATCAATTTGTAATGTAGAGTTCGCTAATGTTAAGCCACTTTTTTACTCTTTAAAGAAGTGTCCTTAGAGAATTTTTTTTCAAAAACTATTCATATCATAAGCCTGACCAACTAGAAGGAAAAAATTAACGAAAAATTTAGGTACAGAAAGAAATTATGAAAATGTTTGTATTCCATTTTTTTTTGTATTCAGACATGTATATTACATAATACATTACGTTATATAAAGCATTTTATATTGAATTTAACGAATATATGTCAGTGTCAAGCGCAGAAAGGTCTAAACAAAATATGCTAACCATGTGTGCTTTCAACAGATTTGTTGAGCAGTTAAAGATTATATACATATATACGAACAACAAGCTCTCCCTTTCTCTCCATGTGTATATATATCGCCATCGGTGAAATAACATAGTATAACATATATGAATAAATACACGTATAGGGCTATATAAGGGTAAGAATGGCTCTAAAGTGCTCGTTCATGCCAGCGAACGAAAAAGTTTAGCCAATCTGTTTTAATATATAGAAGAATTAGGACGTTTGTGACGATGTAACATAGTGAGCTCATTTTTAATCAAATAATGCATTAGGATTATGTATGACTATCTGCAATATAAACAGCCGTATAAAGCAAGTTAAGGTTTTACGACTAGAAACACCTTGAGGGTTTGTTAAAAATATTTCGGAAAAGAAATTTAATACTCGAAAATCTAATATTTCTGCGAAGGTGCATAACAACAATTTAAGAACTGTAATGGAAGTATACCCATCCCAAAATGCTTTGGAGTTAGCACTTAGGTTTGGGATATATAAAAAAAATAGCATATTTGTCCACCTCGGTGATAAAAATATTTAACAAATAGGCGAGCATAATTTGAATGATGGCCAAACAGAACGAGAAGACGCTTACTTCCCTTTGCTTCACGATACAATTCATTCGAATTGCAGATCTACTATGAAAAATTTATCTTTTACGGTGACTGCAAACGATGGCTGGATGCAACTAAACCGGCAGGACATTACCCTAAAACAGATGTACAGTTGCGAAAACTTATGATTGTCTAATGCAGGTATTATCACCGGCTTTAGATTCTTACTTACAAAAACTGCTAAAGTATGCTATTAACGATTAAAAAAAATCATGATTGTTATTTTTTTAATTGTTATTTTTTTAAATACTGACGTTAGAAAATTATTCAAATCCGAACGTGTTAAAATTGCTTATGGGCTTCGTGAACTCTTAAACCTCTGGCTTTTATAGCTGCAGAAAGAATAAGTTACCTTTAAATGGCAGGAAGTCAGAAATTATACTTATCTTTATTATTATATTATAAAGTTGTAGGTTAACCTATAAAGAAGTGAAAAAGTACGTTATCACGTTTCAAAGTAAATGATCTACTACATCATTAGCTACTAATGACAACATAAACAGACTTGCACTACACACTATAGGGTCGCCACTACTCGAAAGCACTAATGAATGCGAGAATACAGGGCCATACGTTGCGATATATGCCCGAACGTAATGCAAGCAGCGAGTATTGATGATACTGGAATAGCTACATAATGCAGTCTAAAGAATCAATAGTAGAAATAAATAGTAGAAAGAATCAATAGGGAGGTATCAGTTGCCGAAAAAATAGCAATAGGTGACACTTAGCACTAGTTTTAACAGCGATATATATATAAAGGGAAAGAGAGAGCCGTTTTTGCATAATGAATTTGGTACCAACGAAAAAGGAATAATATATATTTGAGTCTAACTTAAATGAGGTAAAGACATGCTGCATAGAAATCAATACAATTATATTTTGCCCCATCGGTTTTATTTTTACTTGGTGAATAGTAAAACGCTTTTTTGTGTATCATGATCATAAATAACACCATATGTTTTACCCCTTACCCAAAAGACCGAACTCCATCATCCCATTTCTTGTATACTCGCAGCACCAGTATGCAATCTGGTACATACATTTTGTCCTGCGTTTAGATCTGTGGACCTACCAAACAGTTTTATCAAACGGAACTCCCACGTGCAAAGATACTCAGTGACTAGACATATTGAGTGTTTTAAGCTATTGAACTTTTGGAAAACCTATTACTTTGTAAGGACGTTTGTTATTTTCTTAAAATGGTATATATAAGGCACTCGCATTGGTATGCTTCAATCCTCCGGATAACGTCTAAACCGAAAACGCTACAAACGCCACCATATACAGATGTATACTCAGAAATACATGCTTTTTTAGACTCGTAGTATATCATATATACAGAAGTATGACCTTTACAGTAGGCTTCCACCCGAACAGTCACTGGTTATCTTCGTTCGAAGAAACTGCGTGTTACGACTTTGTTTAATAAATCCACAGACCTACTGGTAGTCGGACTTGTGAGTCACGGTAAATTCGGGTGCTCCAAAAATGCAAATTTCGAAACTATTTGGTATTTTGGCGGAGAAATAAGCCTTTGTCTATAAGGACACTACTAGCGCGCCACCTACGTCACCGTTTAATTAGTGATGTATGAAGGCATAGTGTGATTCTGTATGTTCAGCATGGTTTTAGGACTCTGGCATGTCAACATTGCAAACGGTGAAAAATTTTTGATCGGCACTTTACATACAGCTAACTCTTAATAACAGACACGTTCTACTTATGTTATGCATAATAAATTAATGTTTTTCTTTTTTATATAAACTCTGTAGCCACAATAGGGTTTTCGCTTAAATGTAATAATATTTTCGACGATAGGGAAAATAGAGCTAGCTCGAATTCGCTATGTGGTCAACTATATAAATTTAGCTTAATTACTCAGGATTCGGTCAGCGATTCTGGTCAGTTCTAAGTCATTCAAGACGAATAGACTGTTTACGTGTGATCATTCGGTGGAACTTTTATCTTTAGAGTAGACCAACTTTGTGATGATGTTATAATAATTTAAATTCCCACAAAAAAAAAAGAAATAATTACTAATTTTCCGATGTTACATCGTAAATCTTCGTTGGGAGATCTCTATTGTTTTAAGAATATTCTCTACAATTGGGGCGCTAGACAAAGTAAGCGGCAAGCTGCGCCATCTTGTCTTTGGGTTTTGGTTTTTTTTTAGATTTTCCTTTAGAGCCAGCGGGTCGTGAGGGTCGATTGCGAATAATGCGTGGTTTCAACGCCATTTTTTTTTCCACCAACGGGGTCAGTACTGGATCACAAAATACGCAACCTGTGGCTTCCTGCAAAGCTCCACTAAGTCGAGTGCGCTCAAGGCTTTTATATTCAACAGTCACGACCTGAAAGGTGAAATTATGTCAACGTTATATTTACCTGCTTTACCGAAAAAGGTTAGGTATTAAAAATAATCGCATGCCAGAATTACAGAACCATTTTTCAAAAACTTTTCATAAATTTAGACCGATTATATATGGTTATAAATTGGCTTTATAAAAAGGATATAAGTTTTTCGGCGTAAGAGGTAATTTTTGTGAAAACATTACTTTCCACACTGAAGTTTTTGAATGGATCTTTGATAAAGTTCAAGTTTTATTTACACAAGGAAGCTTGGAGATTGCCAAATTCCTTTACCATAATTTACATAGCCGCAAGCAATTCACAATAATGAAAAATTATTCAGTTACAATTTTAATCTTTAACAATACGCCGCATTGAACACGGAGCGACAGAATGGTCAACGACTGCGTTGCCGTTCTGTTAACTTGTCAACGGAATATCAAATAACGGAAAATTTGATACTATAACGCTATAGCCAAACATAAACGATTCCTTTAGCCGCCATCATTGATATAATTGAAGTTTAGCAGATATGATGACTTGTAAAAAAAGCCTAACTTAGTCGACCTCCTCATTAACTGCATAAAAACGATTTAGCTACAGGTTTGTCGCATTAACCTCATTCTGTCGTATAAAATAATAAAGATTTTACAAAGAAAAAGACCATTGTGCAGATTTGTTTTTTGGCTCTTAATCAGAACCACTTAGATAAATTGATATGACTATGTGAAGTATTTTTCAAAAAAATAGTCAGTCCAATGATATTACTTAATAAATCGCATAGGCAGAACTTGTAGAAATTAGTTGTAAAATAACATTGCATATTTCGACAATAATCTCAACTCACCAAGAAAGCAACAATTTTCAGATTTTGTTATTTATTTTGTTATCTATAGATACTAGCATTCCGCGCCTAAATTTATGCGCCCGAAGAGTGAAAATATGCTTGCTTAATTATTCTGCCGTGTTCCTGCTACTCGGCAAACATGTTGAAGCCAAAAGGTGTATTATCGGTACTGGTTATTAGAGACTGATGGGACAGAGCTGACTGTACAACTGAATTGGAAAAAAAGTATAATAAGACGGCAATGATCACGTTTCTTTGCTACCGACAAAGGCTTGTCTTGTAAACAACGAAGACTAGCAACTACAAGGAAACCATTCGGTAAACAATTTTAGGGCACTGGCGCTTTGTTGAATTGCTTGAACAACACCGCTGGGCACTACTACATAGCTTTACAACGGATCATATTGTATGTGTAGCATTTTTACATCAAACAAGATTGCTGTTTTTATTTAATTGTAGGATTGTGCCACAGTAAAAGATTACGGAGAATCATATGAAATTATTTGACTTTGCTAAACATTAAGATTTTTTCAATGAAAAGATCTTAGTTTTGCATTTTTTTTTAGATTTTTTTTTCGATAGATGTTGATTTTGGTACTTCTCACGTCTTCTTTAGTGTGTGAGAAGTACCAAAATCAACATCCATCGAAAAAAATTATATATATATATATAGATATAATTTTTTTTTCTTTTCATATAGTTTTCAAAAAATTCATGTTGGAATTCCTCGATTGCAAGATAAGCGATCTGATAATTACGCACTTGCAGAACTGATTCCGCAACCCAGACAAAATTGAGAACACAGGTAGTGTGCGTAAGTTAGTGACCTTCCCTTGTTAATTATGTCGAAACAGGGCAGAATTCGACAACAGTCGACAGACAAACAGTCGAAAAAAAATAGTATCCGAATGCACGTTCGCCTGCAGATATAAGACATAAGTTAAGGAGTAAAACACTACCTGGGAATCACAAGTCTCACATCGCTCTTCTTCGACGGTAACACGACAAGCATCCTCAAAACAGCTGACAAGAACTTCGCAGCGATTACAGGCAATTTTCCACTTCGGTGCGGATGCTGGATCAAGAACGAGTACGCCGGCTGCACATTCAGGGCATCCACAGATACCGTTCGACATCATACTATGCGGGCAGGTAGGATGCGTACAGGCGTTGCAACCAGAGTTCTTTTTAGTATCCCTGAAAGGGGGGTGATTATAGCAATATGGGCAGAAAATAAATGACTTGCACCTGATTCCACCCGACCATTGCAATAATTCATACTCGTCCAGGGGACATTTTAGTTCCCGAAACATGCGTACCCCACCATTTTGCGGAAGGGAGAGCGTCTCATCGCAAGCTGGGCAATGCAACCGGGTCGGTTTGCTGTTTACTAACTTCATGTATCGCCTGCATTTGCCGCAGCGTGAGATCGGCTTGCCTGATGCGCTAAGCGGACTAAATGTACATTCCAAGAGACCGTCCATAGCAGGCATTGTAGCTACAAAGTAGTGGAATTTAAGTTGAAACACTGTTAACGTGTGTCGCAAAACGGCATCAAAGTTAGCATGACCTGTAGCAATTAAGTTCAGCTGTTCCTCTACAGCCGCTCTCATCCACGGTAGGCAAAGGTCCTTATCTATAGTCTGATAACCGTGGATTAACACGATTCCAAGGTTAGTGGGCTTGAGTTTTCGGCCGCTTTCAATCGTAACGTAATGACGTTGACAAATGTTGTTAATGTGAGTAGAGATACTAGCGTCCGTGCCAATCCCGTGTTTGTCCATAAGGCCAATCAGCTCAGATTCCGTCAGGTAGTCTGGTGGAGATGTTTGTTTGTCGTCTAACTTAATCGAAACGACCTCAAGCTGTGAACCCGGTGTTAAATTAAACTGTGAGTCTGCGCCATCTGAGGACACTGACTGCCAAGTCATAATAGCCGTATAGCCAGGATCAGTAGTCTTTTTCGTAGTTAACGTGAAATGCTCTGATCCGATCTGAAGTTCTGCTTGCAAATGGCGATACTTTAGGTCCTTGCTTAATGTACCAAGAAAGTGCGCTACGATGTATTCATAGAGACGCCAGCTTTCGCCATCCAAATCTCCCCTATTGGCAGCTCGAGTGGGGGTGATTGGAGGATGATCACCTACATCGGTACCCTTGCGCGGCTTATTTATGCCTTGCGTTAGCAACTGCTGCACATAGCTTGACACATCGTTGACATTTTTTAACATAATCACGGTTCCTCTTAGGTCCATGTTTTCTGGGTACGACGTCGTTTCAGTACGTGGATATGATATGTAGCCTTGCATATATAATTTCTCCGCTAAAAGCATAGCGTGATGGGGACCCATTCCGAGTCCTGCGCTGGCTGCACGCATCAGTTCGATTGTGTTCAACGCCAGAGGTCTCTGCTTGCTTCTATCATTATTTTGAACTGATAGCACCTTTGCATGTTGTGACACCTTAGCCATAGTCAAACACAGGCAAGCCACTTCCTGGTCGAAGATACGGCCCCTGTCCCACTCAGGAACCACTATGCTGCCATTGGGGAGCTTCACCTTAAATAACACAGTAGAAAAAATGTGAACATTAATGACAATACTTTTGAATCAACATTAGGCATCCATTGTTTTAAATTAGTAGGGGCCAACATTATGTGTGTGCGTTAAACATAAAACTGAAGAAAGCTTAATAATATCTGAAACTCACCCAGGTATTGGTCGATAGTATTTAAATTTTACTTTGAACGTCCTAAGCTAGTGTTTTAAAACAAAGCAACATATTGTATAAAGGAATTCAGGAAAAAACTTGATACACAAAGCACGAAGTACTGAAGTCCACTTAAGCATGTGAAAAATATTCTAATGAATGAAAACTTACCATACTGCAAAAGCTAAAAACCGATTGGTGTAATAACTGAGCCTTTTCTTTAGCGAACAATCGATGGTATTTCTTGTTTGTGGCTTAAACGATCAGTATAAACGTAGCTGCATGCATGTTCACAAATTCATGCCGATTATTATTTGTAAGCAATCTAGCTTGCATTATACCATACACTAATGAGGTAAAGCCTTACTTGCACGCTAAGTACCCAGTAGTTTTCCGGTTTAAATGACTGGATTTTGTCATGACGTTCAACACAAAATCCGAGCGTTGGTGTTTGGCAAGGGCCATACGAAATAAGTGATGAGTCAAGGTTTCCATATTTATTTTGAAAATATTTAGTTTGGAAGCGCGTGAAAGCACAGCCGATTCGCAGGTCGAGCTCTTGGCGTGCGTCCACTGATCGTGCCTCGTTCTCATTCGGCTTGCCGAGGTTGTTCATCGCGGCTTTGACATCCTTCTCCGTAATAGAACTAAACCTTGCTCGGAAAATCGATGCTCCTCGTTTGATGCTTCCCTGGATTGCATCCAATATTTCGAAGCATATATTTTCGCCTTCTTTGTCACAATCAAGCCACAAAACCACCGTGTCACAATTAGTAGCTTCTTTAGCAAGCATCCTTGGCATTTGCAATTTTGGAGACGCTTCTTTCTTTTCTACAGGTATAAGAAATAGTTCAGCGGGATCCACTCTATCCCAATGGTTATATATACAGGGAAAATCAGTTGTCATGATGTGCCCGCACACAGCTGTCATTTTGAAGCGCGCTCCGTTCGAGCCTAAGAAAGATCCGGACCACTCATGTACAGAACAGGCGCCATTGATCGTCTTGCGCGTTTTGCAGCTGCCATTTGATAATATATTCGCTAGTGACTGAGCTAGCGATGGCTTCTCGGCCACCATAAACACGCTGCGGTACATTCCGAAGACAGATCACAGTGGGCTTCTTTTTAAGTTAAATATATATAAGTGTCACATAAGGAAGCAAGTTCATTTAAGCTTCGCATCGGCACTACTGTTACATTAACTTACCACCCCTTCTTTTTACTACACAGACGGTTTAATAATTCACTGACGATTGACTTTCGAGTCGTATCTTCATTCCTCAGTATGATATCGCGACAGTATGCTTGTTTACTTTCTGACGTGTGACTGAATTTTGAGAGTGAGCAGGGTTTAGGCGGTTCGGCTAGATGAAGAAGGCATGCATTCTAGCAAGAAGCTTTGAACTTTTATTAAATTTTTCATATAGAGCTTAAGGGGTACATTCGTGCAAGATAAATAATGTAATAGTAAAAGGTCAAAAATCTATAAAAAAAACTATGTTTGAGATACTGAGGTTCAAGGGTGAATTCTCAAAATGAAGCCCATAGGTTTTTAGAGTTGCATCCTGGTTGATCCGCTAGTTTAGCGGCATCGTCTGACATCCAAATTGCGGCTAACTTTCGGGGCTGAGAGACGTTTTACAAAAACAGGTTGTGCAGTGGAACTTCATGTGGTGAATGTACGTGACACATGTTTGATGCAGTTTCGTTGAATTCACTGAGCGCGGGGCCTAGTTTCCGAATTATTGTTTCCTATTATTCAAAATTGTCGAGAGAATGGCTGCCCAGGTGGATCTTGTTTCGATTTTATCTCTGATTCTCTAGGCCTTACCAGCTACGTAAATCCGCAGTTAGGTAGTCCGTTCGAAACTATAGCGATGGGATCGCCGACTGCGTGAACACAGCCCGGAGAACCGTAAGCATTTTTGAAGAAACACTTTTTTTTCAACAACTGCTTGCAGATGACCAAAGCACTTCGTTACATTAGTCGCAGGTTCCTCCATTGGTCGGTAAGTTAACTTTACAGTCAATAAAGGTTGCGACGCTCGCACAGTACGTCTTATTGGACGAAGGCGAAACAAATGATGCGAGCTTTGTAATCGCCAACATAGTGACCTGCAAACGGCACAGTGAGAAAAATGCGCGTGAAGACATTTATATTACGAATTCATTCATGAAGTCGAACAATCAAAATGCGAGGGGTATTGCAAAACAGGCGAATCAAAACTCAACCTCGATTTCGCAATCCGCCAGTAGCGACCTCAAGGTAGAAGCTCTGTTTAAATTGTTATCTAAATCAAATACTGGATATAAAAAAAAAGGTGGTGTTTCAAACATCACGACAAATGCGCTTGACACACATGGGAGTAGGGAACAAATATACCGAACGTCTACGGTGAGTTTTTTTTTAATGCAAAGAATAAAGCGCTCAAGAAGCGAGAGCAGGGCGACCAACAGAAAATTATTGTATCATTAATAAAAGCAATTAAATATCATGCATCAATAATTTCAAATATTGATAGAGCTCATGTACTAATACAAAAACTTGCCGGTCGCCCAAGAAATACGCCACTTTGGATCACGATTAAGATCGCCTTAATACATTAAATGATAAATAACAATCTGAGGTATGCCTACATGTCGCTAGGACAAGCGTGACCCTAAAAATATGCGCGAAGTACTTCCCAGTGAGTAGTCAGTTACACAGAAAGTGCAAATCGTTTCAACACATACAATGCAAATCGCTGTTGGTCATGTACTGATATACACTGCACTTGTTTCGGTGCACTCGTCAATGGAACGATTAGAGTGAGTCATGACATAATTATCGCGAGATATAGCCTTTTGATCTTATCAGGTGATTTTCTGCTATAAATACAAAGCTAAACTGCATCGTAGAGCGTTGCAAAAACAATACTAAGACAGCTATAATATTCCAGATGGGGCTACGTGGCCATTTCAAAACGGCTGAGAAGTGGGATACGACGTTACAAGAGATATATGTCATGAGGTTCCATATATCCGAGCTTGATTAGAAGAGATTAGAGCCACCAAGTTTCATTATGAATAACCTGCGTGGAGACTACTAGATGTGGATCTAGTAGTAGAAGACATCAGCATTGTAGGGTAGTCTTTCCGCTTCCAAACGATATGCAAACTGGGTTGAACCGTCACACTCCAAATCCAAAGGAATAATAGTTTCGTGTGCTGCTATACAATTTGCATGTATTTGATTTGACATTATTCATGTTACAATTAACCCTATTCCCTGGTCGTGGAATATTCTGAATGGGTTTTTTGTAGCCGTGTAAGCTGCATTTTGTGTGCAAAGGGCTAATAATATATTCGATAGTCGATGTTAAATCACTTAATGACACTGATAAGCGTATACGTCCTTATGTCCTATCGTATCTGCACATAGAATATTAAACTTGCCAGTATATAGTTTAGATTTATAATTTTAGCAACTGTCATGACCATGATGGAATAGTAAGCATTCGTGGTGAAAAGAACGTAAATTAGAAACAAATATATATATATATATATATATATATACCTATATACTGAAAATATTTTTACCTGTAAATATTATACCGTCAAGAAAAGACTGCGTCGTTTACATTGTACGTTCAAAGCCAAATATGCCATCCACTAATATTTGTCTTTACTGGAGGTTGGCTTGTCCGTTTGCTTTTACGAAGTTCGCATTTCAGGGCATCTTACTGTAAGGAATGGCTTAAGCTCAGCAACAAGCTCAATGGCTACTACGATAAGCTTTGAATTGGTATGGAAAACTCGTTCCCTCTTTCACATAGTCATTTCAACAGACATATCGCTTCGATATTCGATGGACATATCGAACGTCGAAGCAGAGGTAGGGCTCGCGGTAATGAAGTGCATGTACATTTAATTCTTCTACTGTTATTATTAATTAGCTTTTATGCTCTGCTTACTCACGCTGAATATAATAAATAAAAAGTATAGTGGAAAATATCGTTTGTTGAATCTGTTTGTAGTATGTGAACCAGTTCTTAACTTCTTTAAAATACAATATTCTTTTCGGCCAACTATCACGTTTCTGTGGCTTTGATTTAAGCATAATACGTAACAACATATTAAATGAAAACTTGCATATCATTTTGTATAGCTTCGTGGCATTTTTCAACTTGCTACTATTCGCATACTTATGGAACTTAGTATTTGTTTGAGTGCTACCTGGTCGCTCATTAAATATTTGTATACGATAAAATGCTTTCGTGTAATGCGATTATCGTTTATTCGTTTATATGTTGTATCATAGGTATGGATCATACCGCTACTACTTTAAGTACAAATTAATTTCGCAAAGTATACTTCTTGAATACTTTTTGGAAATTTTAGTGAATGCTAAGTTAGAACCGATTTTTCTAGGAAAGTTGTGTAGTTATCAATGAAAAACAATACACGTTGGACAAATGAACACTAGTGACCAAGCCAGGATCCTTCTAGACGCAGGGTCGATTTAGTTTTATTTATAATAATATAATAATAAGCTAATACGCTAATAAGCCAACACAAGGATCTTAACAGAATGAGCAATTGGCAAACAACTCGTTAATTGCTTAATCTCAAGGGAAGCAAAAGCGGTAGCGTCGTAGGTGTTTAATACCCATTTATTTGAGCGTGTTGTCAACGTTACGTTACGCTGATTCTAATCTCTAACTAACAATTAGGAAAATAAGATAATAAAGAAAATATAATACTTTTTTTTAATATAAAATTTAATAACTTGTATAGCTGGCGTATCGTTTTATAGGTCTGGTGCAGAAACACCTCTCTTCAAGCAAAAACAGTCTCGTTAGGGGACCTAATGGGACTAAGTCCTTGATGTTATTTCTAAAAAAAAAGAAATGATTCCGGGGATTTCTTCACGCAGAGAAAATAACTAAACGTGATAAAAAGAGCAGTTGATAGAAGAACCTACGAAATGGCAGATAAATTTCTTCAAAGGGACCTTTTAAAGGTTTTTTTGTTAAATCAACTTGAATTTTGCTTTAAAGCCGGACAGAACTCACAAACAATCTGTGTCAAATCAAGTACTCCGACTCGGCTGAGTATTTTTTAATAAGTAAACGTCACTTATAGTTCGAACGTTATTGGATTAATGTTTCAAATGCCTTTTGGCTAAGGGGTGGAACTAACGTACACACCTCAAACAACCAACTTGATTAAAGATGCTTGAAAATTTGTGGAATACTTGATTCATGAAGTACTTTTGATTTCCTTAAAAAGCGTGCACAAACCCAAGTAGAGCAACTGACTTAAACAATGCTGCTTGAGCTTCGGCCATCTTTTGAATTCTCATCCGCGAGTAAATAGTTTTTTACATTTTTAATTACTTTAAAAACGTTGTTATTGTTTTTATTTAGACCTATCTAACTATCATAGTATCATGGACAGCTTTTGTAATGGTACAAAATATCCATTATGAATGTAGATATGTGCAGTACATTATTTTCGGAACAATCAAAAACTCACCAACTTATTGACTGACTTCTATGAATTTGATTCGTGAATACTAACCTTTTCACAAAAAACAACTGTGGTGGAAAGAACACGGCATCTTTGGATGATTGTTTCACCAGTGCTTAAATTCAAAAATGAAAGTTCTTTATTTTAGAGATCTAAAAAAACAAAGGATTGAATTTCCCTTAAAACAATATTCTCTTCTTTTGGTAGGAGCATGTGTTGCGTTCTTGGTGTTGAAAATTACTGCTTTATTAACTAACCTCTACGCAAGTGACTCAAGGACGACGGAAACAGTTAAATGAGGATAATGACAACTGAATGATAACAAAGCGACCGGTTCGGAAAAATCAGTTCAAAGAAATTAAGAGAATTAGAACGGGCTAACGAGAACAGTTCGGTATAACATTGTGACTAGACTATTAAAAATTTAGTTCTAACTAACGAAACAAAGCAGATCTACATTCTCGATGCAGCGCAGACTGTATCGTAAAAAAATGGCAGGACAGTCTTACAAGAATATCTTACAAGATATGGAACACTTGAATGAAAAAAGGTAGGTCGCTAGTTAGTGTGTAGCAGTAAATAATGAAAAAAAGGTCTAGGTATGCGCAGTGATAAAAATAGAGGTAATATGTCAGCGTAAGGCTTGGTTCAGCACGGATGGCTACAGCCATTTAGTTGTAGTGCATTTTAGGGGTTGAGATTGAAACACTTTCTATAAGTTAGTTCAGCAAGATATCAGTTTTTGTCAATAAATCAAAATATTTTTGAGAAAACATTAGTCTTCATTAAAGTACTAGCTATGCACCAG